CAATACTTCCTTTGCTTACGCTCGGGAAGTAAAAAGCACTATGGTTTCCTGTGATTCCCTTAAATTATTAAAAAACATACACGGGGTCATAGAGATTCTTTAAGTTAAAAAAAAACACTCGGAACCCCCGAGATACGTTTAAATTCTTTAAAAATTACGCTGGGTACGCAGAGATTTTTTATATTTTTTTAGGGAACTTTTTAGAAAAAAGAACTGGGAACCCAGGTGATTCTTTAAAATTTTTCAAAAAGAAAAAAAACCCACTCGGATCTTCTAAGATTCTATTAAATTTTTGAAAAAAATCCTTGGGTTTCCCGAGATTCTTTACATAAAAAAAAAATTACAATGTCCCTAGAGATTCTTTTAAGTTCCTAGAAAATTACGAAGGACCCCTGAGATTCTTTTAAATTGGTCTAAAGAGTTTAGACAGTACTTCCCTCGCTGTCGGAAACTTGATCACTGCATGCTTATTGTGTTTTTTTTCTCATTACATTTTTGTAGTCGGAATTTAAAAAAAAGATTGAGATGACGTCATCAACATTTTTGCAAGGACACATATATCAGTTGGGATAGATGTAGTGTAATACTAAGAATAAAATTATTATATTCTCAAATTTTCGGGAAAATGAATTGGGTCGTTTTGAATATTGATTTGTAATAATCAATAAAATAACGAAACAATACGTATCAGAGGCAACTGAAAATCGTGTATGTATAAACATTCTTAATTTAAGATGACAGGCGTAACAGCATACGTGAGAGTCAAACAGAGAAACTGTAAACAAAACGACTATCGGTTTTATTGCTTCGACTTCCGCTTATTATATAAAACATTGGGTTTTATTTTAATTCTTGACGGTGAAATTCACAATTGGTTGATTATAAACATGTCTATTTCACATTCGCGGAACCAAGTGAGCGCATAAAATAAATGCAGGTCTGCAATGTTAAAGTCGATGTAAATAAGCTACCCTTATGTTTCAACCGAGTTTTTCCTTTAACAAATTTTGTGTCCACCAAATTGGGTTGGTTGGGGTGTAATACTAATAATAAGTGTTGCCTTTAATTTAATCAATAAAATAAATTGACTTCATTAATTTTTTTGAACCACCTCTTAAGAAAATCTAAAAAATATGAATGGAATGATAAATCACAAGTACAAACTCATCATATTTTTTGCATTTTAGATAGGATTTATTCAGCAAAATTTAAGGGTGACGTCATCAATTTTTTTAGGAGGGATGAACAAATACATTTTGAACAAAAGTTTACCATGCTTATAACAACTTTAAAATATTCCCAAGATTTCAAAGCATTGGGTTTTGTAATTCCTGATTAAATCGATCAAATAAATTCACGCATTCATTATTTTTTTTGAGTCAGCCTGTATATGCAAATCCAAAAATATGAATGGAATGATAAACCACAAGTACAGACTCATCATATTTTGTACATTTTAGATAGGATTTATTCAGCAAACTTTTGGGGTGACGTCATCAATTTTTTAGGGGGGATGAGCAATTACATTTTGATAAAAAATTTACCATGCTTATAATAACTTTAAAACATCTCCAAGATTTCAAAGCATTCGGTTCTGTAAATCCTGATTAAATCAATAAAATCAATTGACGCATTCAATAATTTTTTTCAGTCACCCTATATATGCAAATCGAAAAAATATGAACGGAGTGATAAATCACAAGTACAGACTCATCATATTTTTCACATTTTAGATAGGATTTATTCACCAAATTTTAGGGTGACGTCATCGATTTTTTTAGGGGGGAAGAGCAAATACATTTTGATAAAAAAATTACCATGCTTATGGTAACTTTAAAACATCTCCAAGATTTCAAAGCATTCGATTATGTAATTCCTGATTAAATCAATAAAATAAATTGACGCATTCATTAATTTTTTTCAGTCACCCTGTATATGCAAATCGAAAAAATTTGAATGGAATGGTAAATCACAAGAAGAGACTCACCATATTTTGTACATTTTAGATAGGATTTATTCGGCAAAATTTTGTGGTGACGTCATAAATTTTTTAGGAGGGACGACCAAATACATTTTGATAAAAAATTTACCATGCTTATGATAACTTTAAAACATCTTCAAGATTTCGAAGCATTCGGTTTTGTAGTTAATGAGTAAATCAGTAAAATAAATTTTGCGCATTCATTAATTTTTTTGAGTCACCCTGTATATGCAAATCCAAAAAATATGAATGGAGTGATATATCACAAGCACAGACGCATCATATTTTGTACATTTTAGATAGGATTTATTTGGCAAACTTTTGAGCTGACGTCATCAAGTTTTTGGAGGGGATAACCAAATATATTTTGACTAAAGATTTATGATTCTCTTTAGAGCCTTAAAACATCTGCAACATTTCAAAACATTCGCGTTAGCAGATTCAAAATTAAATTGCAAAATGTTGTTTTATAATTTTGATTTTTTTTCCAAAAATCTGGACGTTTCGGGTAAAAACTGAATTCGGAGTCGTAAACCACATGTGTAGGACTATGTTATTTTATACAATTTAAGACCTATTTACTATGTACAATTTTGAAGTGACGTCATCGCATTAGTGGTGGGGATGATTAGACAAATTTTGGTTAGCGTTTTACCATCTACATGATATTCCTAATATAAGTACAAAATTTCACAACAATCGGTCGAGTACTTTCGGAGATTATCTGTCTAATAAAAATCCGGGACGGCAGACGGACAGACGGACGGACAGACGGACGGACGGACGGACGGACGGACGGACAGACGGACGCACAGACGGACGGACAGACAGACCGAAATGGGAGACCTATTTCTTCGTCTTCTAGGGGTCATGAAAGATCGAGAAAACGTAAATGCAGAGAGTCGGCCGACGGACTCGATTACAATACTTCCTTTGCTTACGCTCGGGAAGTAAAAAGGACTAGGAACCCCCGAGATTCTTTAAAATTTTTCAAAAAGAAAAAACCTACTGGGATCTTCCACGATTCTTTTAAATTTTTGAAAAAAAATCCTTGGGTTTCCCGAGATTCTTTACATAAAAAAATTACCAATGTCCCTAAAGATTCTTTTAAGTTCCTAGAAAATTACGAAGGACCCCTGAGATTCTTTTAAATAAAAAAAAAGCACTAGGGTTTCCCGTGATTCCCTTAAATTATTAAAAAACACACACGGAGTCATAGAGATTCTTATAAGTTAAAAAAAAAAAAACTAGGAACCCCCGAGAAACGTTTAAATTCTTTAAAAATTAAGCTGGGTACGCAGAGATTTTTTTTATTTTTTTAGGGAACTTTTTAGAAAAAAGAACTGTGAACCCAGGTGATTCTTTAAAATTTTTCAAAAAGAAAAAAAAACCCACTCGGATCTTCTAAGATTCTATTAAATTTTTGAAAAAAATCCTTGGGTTTCCCGAGATTCTTTACATAAAAAAATTACCAATGTCCGTAAAGATTCTTTTAAGTTCCTAGAAAATTACGAAGGACTCCTGAGGTGCTTTTAAATTAAGTAAAAGCGCTAGGGTTTCCCGTGATTCCCATAAAATTATTAAAAAATATACACGGGGTCATAGAGATTCTTTTAAGTTTTTTAAAAAAACACTAGGAACCCCCGAGATACGTTTAAATTATTTAAAAAATACGCTGGGTACGCAGAGATTTTTTTATATTTTTTTAGGGAACTTTTTAGAAAAAAGGACTAAGAACCCCCGAGATTCTTTAAAATTTTCCAAAAAGAAAAAAAAAACCTACTCGGATCTCCAGAGATTCTTTACATAAAAAAAATTACCAATGTCCCTAGAGATTCTTTTAAGTTCCAAGAAAATTACGAAGGACCCCTGAGATTCTTTTAAATTAAAAAAAAAAAAAAAGACTAGGGTTTCCCGTGATTCCCTTAAATTATTAAAAAACATACAAGGGGTCATAGCGATTCTTTTAAGTTTTTTAAAAAAATATTAGGAACCCCCGAGATTCTTTTAAATTCTTTAAAAATTACACTTTTTTTTAGAGAACTTTTCAAAAAAAAAACTAGAAACTAGGATCCCGAGATTCCAGATTCTTTTAAAAAACACTAAGAACCCCCGACATCTTTTCAAATTCTTTAAAAAATACGCTGGATCTCCAAGATTCTTAATTTTTTTTTGGAGAACTCTCCAATAGAAAAACACTAGAAACCCCAAGATTCTTTACATCAACCCCCTGAGATTCTTTTAAATTTTTCAAAAAAAGTCTAAGACTTTCCAAAATTCTTTTAAATTCTTAATTAAACCCGAGACTTCGGTAAATTGAAAAAAATACGTTGTGTTTTTTTAAACCACTGTGGATCTTCGAAATTTGATTTTATTCTTAGAAAAAAGACACTCGTGAATCCTCTAAATTCTACAAAAAAAGCCATCAGTGTTTCCGAATATTTTTTTAAACTGTTCAAAAAAAACCCTAGCATCCCTCGAGGTTCAAATTCTTCAAAAGAAAAAAAAACGGTTTGGTATTTAAAAAAATAACCACTAAGGTCCCTCAGATTTGTTTAAGTTCTTAAAAAATCACAAAGGACCGCCGAGATTCTTTTAAATTCTTACAAAAATGAGTAGGATCTTTCAAGTTTTTTGTTCTTAATTACATCGATTTTTTTCCTTTTTTTTTTTGTTACAATGTTATCATTTTTGGGAGCATTTAAGGTTTTTTTGGTGCTTTTTTTGGGTGCCTTTAGTTTGTCGCGTCTTTTTGGGCCCTTTTTATCGACTTTTTTTGTTACATTTTCGTCGTTTTAACGCGTTTTGTTGGTCTACTTTTTTTGTCTTTTGTCCCACACTTTCCACCCACTTCTATCGCCGTTTTTTGAGACTATTTTTCTCCCTTATTGGTGTTTTTTGTCCGACTTTTTGTGGCTTATTATTCTAGATGGGAAAAGATACCAGGAATGAGAATAATCACCTTAAAATAAATTCAAAGATCAATAGTGGAATCATTTGCATACATAACCACGAACAACTTCTGGAAAAATAAACCTCAGTGTTACATCACAACATCTTCCATATAATTCAACGCATCATCCAGAATTTTCTCCATTTCCAGATTCACTGCAATTTTTTTCATTTCTTCTACACATTCGCTCTTCAATTTCTTCAAACTTCGTAATGTGTAGTCCAAGCTTCCAAATTCTTCCAACAACTTAACAAAGCGTACTTTCACCTCATAATCAGAAGTTCTTTGCTTCAGGATGTCTGGACACAGTTAAGCAATTTTTTTTAGAAATAACGAACTAAAAAGGATACCCATAAGGCGGTGGTCCTCAGGACGCGCCCTTATACCATGTATCATCGGAAAAGTAAACACCCCCTCTGTTATGTCGTCCCCGAAAACTTTAAGCTCTGCGTACTACGAGCAAGCAAAACAATTACTGTCACAATAATTTCGGACTTTGCTTACTTTACGAGATCCCAGACTGATGTAGTCGTTGCAAATTTGGAAAAAGAGTCCGATTCGGTCCAGGAATAGGTCAAAATTGACCCCCTTAAGCCGGGTAGCGAAGATTTGCTGCACCGTTAGCGACAACGAAAGAACTGAAGTTGTTTCTACAATCATTTGTTTTAATACTTTTGTAAAATAAAAAAACAACTCCGCTTACTGTTGAAGACAATTTTCTGGTAGTCGTCTTCTGTTGGGCATATCCCATTTTTAGCAAAGTATATTTCCACGGCCTGCCCGTAACACAGCTTTGCACCCATCGCAATAAATACATCCATAACCTACAATCTAGATTTTTAAAGCTCGTACGTGCTTGCAACCTACCCTAGGGTCATCGAATTTCGTCAATGCTGAAATGGTACCAAAAATGCTCGAGTAAATCGTTCTGGACCTTCCGTAGACCAAATGGGACGTTGGGATGCGTGCACGCAGTACCGAATTGTCCACCAAATCGTCCATTCTGTAAAGCTACGTTTATATTTTCAGTGACTATTTTGGCCACTTACACCGCAATAGCAGCTTCTAATTTGATTCCAACGGTCGAAATTTCTTTGAACTTGTCTTTGGGTACTTGGAACCAGTGGTTATAGGCCATCCAGATTTTGGTCATGAAGTGGTTCGCGTCTGATAGGTAGTTGAAGTGGTGCAAAGGTTGTAGAACCATTTTCTAATAATAAGTTTTACTAACTTCATCTTTTTGGTTTTTATTGTCGAAGTTCATCGTTACTGTGGGTACTAAATGTACTTGACAACGTAATATAAAGTAAACACTCATCCCATTTGTCATATCAATGTAGCGATTACTTGTCATAAATTATGCAATTAATGTCGCTGATAAATTAAACTAATGCAGACGCATTAATTGCGTGGAATATTTATCTTTTAAAAGGAGGTCAATAGTGACGCCGATACTTTTTCTTCCCGAGCGTAAACGTTCTCTCCGTCTGTCTAAATTACTTTCAATTTGAAATTGGCGCCAATGACGTGACGTCAGCGCCAATAATCTTCAAATTTAGAAGAATCTCGGGACTTTTAGGATTTTTTCTTTTAAAGAGTATCAAAGAATCTCTATCAGAAATGAAAAAAATCTGTTTTATATTTTTTTAGTTTTTGTAAAAACCAACTCTATTACTCTTTAATGAATATTGAAAATCAACAACAATAAATATTGTTACATCACAAGAGCTTCTATATGATTTAAACCATCATCTAAAATCTTCTCTAAATCCGGATTCGGTGCAACTTTCTTGGTTTCTTCAACAAGCTCATGCTTCAATTTTTTCAGAGTTTTTAGAGTGTAATCTAAGCTTCCAAATTCTTCCAACAGTTTCACAAAGTGTCTTTTTACGTTATAATCGGAAGTTTTTTGCTTCATGATGTCTGGACACAGTTAAGACGTTTTTTCTGTACATATTTTTTTTTTTGAAATCACGAAGTAAAAAGGATACCCATGAGTCGGTGGTCTTCAGGGCGCGACTGTATACCATGTATGATAGGAAAAGTAAAAATCCCTTCTGTTATATCATCCCCGAAAGTTTTAAGGTCTGCGTACTACAAGCAAACAAAACAAGTAACTAGTGTCCTAAAATTTTCAGAAACTGCTTACGGCACTTGACTTCAGACTGATGTAGTCGTTGCAAATTTGGATAAACAGTCCCAACGTGACGAGAACTTGCTCAAAATTTGTCGTCCTGTTCTGACTCGCGAATGTTTGTTGTAGAAGTAGTCCAAACGAAACAGTTGGCGATGTTTCTACAAATCAATACAATTTTTTGGTTTTATGTAAAAATTCGGCTTACTATTAAGCACTATTTTCCGGTATTCGTCCTCTGTTGGACATATCCCGTTTCTGGTATAGTACCTTTCCATAAGCTGCCCTTGAAACAGCTTTAAACCCATCGTAATAAAAACGTCGACTACCTACAATCACGGTTTTTATCGTTCGTGGCGTGCTTGTAACCTACCCTGGGGTCATCGAATTTGGTAATTGCTGAAATGGTGCCAAAAATGGACGAGTAAATCGTTCTGGACCTTCCATAGACCAGATGGGACGTCGGAATGCCTCTACGCAGTACCGAATTGTCGACCAAATCGTCCGTTCTGTAAACACGCGTTTTCATCCAATGGAGACTTTTGGGTCACTTACATGTAGACACCAGCTAGTAATTTGGTCATTAAAATCGAAATTTCTTTGCATTTGTCTTTGGGTATTTGGAACCAGGAGTCAAAGGCTGACCAGATTTTCGCTATGAAGTCGTTTAAGGGTGGCAGTTGTTTGAAATGGTTGAAAGGTTGTAGAACGATTTTCTAAACGAGAAAAAAATTGGTTTTGTCTGACTGATTTTTACTTACTTCATCCTCTTGGTTTGCATTGTCGTTGGAAGCGTTTGTGTTGGGCGTTGGATTCATGGTTAGTGTTGGTCGAGTCTACTTGAAGTATAAATGAAACATTTGTTGTATAATGTATCAATATGCAACGAATAATGTTAGATAACAAAACAGAACGCCTGAGAATTAAAAAATATTTGCATTAATTGCGTCACCACTTTGTCACGAAAAATAAATAATCAAGTAGGTGAAATTTGATTTTTCGATTATCAGATTTTCATTTTTTTCGATTTCCCGATTTTTCTATGTTTCAGTTTTTCGATGGTTCAGTTTTGGGATTTTTCCTTTTTCTGATTTTTCATTCCTCTTCGATTTTTCCATTTTTCGATTTTTTGAAAATCTCGATTTATCGATTAATCAGTTTTCGTTAGTTGAGTATTAGGGTTTTTCAATTTATCGGATTTTAAACTTTACATTTTTTTAAATCTTCGATTTCCTGATTTTATTTTCCGATAATTTTCATTCAATTTTTCGGATTTAAATTTTTGATTTATGAAAATTTTAATTTTTGGCGTTTCTAAATGTTCCGTTTTTCGATTAATTGATTTTTTGATTATACGACTATTCAATTTTTCGATATTTTGATTTTACCATTTCTCGATTTTTCGGATTTTGAATTCTTCGATTTTTTATATTTTCTAGTTTTTCGATTTTTCAGGTCTTTGATTTTGATATTTTTTTCTTTACTTTTTAAGTATTTAAAAGGAAACTCTTGGATCTATAGTGTTTTCTTTATTTGCAGTGTTTTTAACGAGTATAAAAGAATGTCGGGTGCTCCTAGCGTTTTTTAAAGAGTATAAAAGAACCTCGGGGGCCTGTAATCTTTATTTTTGAAAAGTATTTAAAAGGAAACTATGGGATTTAGTGTTTTCTTTTTATTAAAAGAATATTAATATAAAAAAAAAACTCCGGTGTTGATTGTGTGTGTGTTTTTTTTTTTTAAAGAATGTCAAGGAATTTCAGGGTCGTCTAGTGTTTTTTTAAAGAGTATCAAATAATTTCGCCTGCTCCTGGTGTTTTTTTTTTTTTTTTGAAGAGCATTAAAGAATTGCAGGGGCCTCTATTTCTTTTTAAGTATTTAAAAAAATCTCTGGAATTTGTAGTGTTTTTTAAAGACTATTAAAAAATGTCGGGTGCTCCTACTCTTTTTTTTTGAAAAGCATAAACGAATCTCAGCTCTTTTTTAAGCATTTAAAAGAGCCTGGGATTTGTAGTGTTTTTTAAAGAGTATAAAAGAATCTGGGGTGATCTTAGTGTTTTTTTAGAGCGTAAATGTCTCTCGGGAGTTCAGTTTTTTCTTTTGAAAGTGTATAATTTTTTTTTTAAGAATGTCAAGGAATTTCCGGATCCTCTAGTGTTTTTTTAAAAAGTATCAAATAATTTCGCCTGCTCCTGGTGGTTTTTTTTTTTTTGAAGAGCATTAAAGAATTGCAGGGGCCCCTATTTTTTTACGTATTTAAAAAAATCTCTGGAATTTGTAGTGTTTTTTTAAAGAGCATAAAAAATGTCGGGCGTTCCTACTCTTTTTTTTTTTAAAAGCATAAAAAAATCTCAGCTCTTTTTTAAGCATTTAAAAGAGTCTGGGTTTTGTAGTGTTTTTTAAAGAGTATAAAAGAATCTGGGGTGACCTTAGTGTTCTTTTTAGAGCGTAAATGTTTCTCGGGAGTTCAGTCTTTTCTTTTGAAAGTGTATATATTTGTTTTAAGAATGTCAAGGCCTTTCCGGATGGTCTAATTTTTTTTTAAAGAGGATCAAATAATTTCGCCTGCTCCTGGTGTTTTTTTTTTTTGAAGAGCATTAAAGAATTGCAGAGGCCCCTATTTTTTAAATATTAAAAAAAAATCTCTGGAATTTGTAGTGTTTTTTAAAGAATATTAAAAAATGTAGGGTGCTCCTACCCTTTTTTTTGAAAAGCATAAAGAATCTCAGCTCGTTTTTTAAGCATTTAAAAGAGCCTGGGATTTTTAGTGTTTTTTAAAGAATATAAAAGAATCTGGGGTGACCTTAGTGTTTTTTTTAGAGCGTAAATGTCTCTCGGGAGCTCAGTCTTTTCTCTTGAAAGTGTATAATTTTTTTTTTAAGAATGTCAAGGAATTTCCGGATCCTCTAGTGTTTTATTAAAGAGTATCAAATAATTTCGCCTGCTCCTGGTGTTTTTCTTTTTTGAAGAGCATTAAAGAATTGCAGGCGCCCCTATTTTTTTTAAGTATTTAAAAAAATCTCTGGAATTTGTAGTGTTTTTTATAGAATATTAAAAAATGTCGGGTGCTCCTACTCTTTTTTTTTGAAAAGCATAAACGAATCTCAGCTCTTTTTTAAGCATTTAAAAGAGCCTGGAATTTGTAGTGTTTTTTAAAGAGTATAAGAATCTGGGGTGACCTTAGTGTTTTTTTTTAGAGTGTAAATGTCTCTCGGGAGCTCAGTCTTTTCTCTTGAAAGTGTATAATTTTTTTTTAAGAATGTCAAGGAATTTCCGGATCCTCTAGTGTTTTATTAAAGAGTATCAAATAATTTCGCCTGCTCCTGGTGTTTTTCTTTTTTGAAGAGCATTAAAGAATTGCAGGCGCCTCTATTTTTTTTAAGTATTTAAAAAAATCTGTGGATTTTGTAGTGTTTTTTAAAGAGTATTAAAAAATATCGGGTGCTCCTACTCTTTTTTTTGAAAAGCATAAAAGAATCTCAGCTCATTTTTAAGCATGTAAAAGAGCCTGGGATTTGTAGTGTTTGTTAAAGAGTATAAAAGAATCTGGGGTGACCTTAGTGTTTTTTTTTAGTGCGTAAATATGTCTCGGGAGCTCAGTCTTTTCTTTTGAAAGTGTATATATTTTTTTAAGAATGTCAAGGAATTTCCGGATCGTCTAGTGTTTTTTTAAAGAGTATCAAATAATTTCGCCTGCTCCTGGTGTTTTTTTTTTTTGAAGAGCATGAAAGAATTGCAGGGGCCCCTATTTTTTTAAGTATTTAAAAAAATCTCTGGAATTTGTAGTGTTTTTTAAAGAGAATTAAAAAATGTCGGGCGCTCCTACTCTTTTTTTTTCGAAAAGCATAAAAGAATCTCAGCTCTTTTTTAAGCATTTAAAAGATCCTGGGATTTGTAGTGTTTTTTAAAAAGTATAAAAGAATCTGGAGTGACCTTAGTGTTTTTTTTAGAGCGTAAATATCTCTCGGGAGCTCAGTCTTTTCTTTTGAAAGTGTATAATTTTTTTTTTAAGAATGTCAACTAATTTGCGGATCGTCTAGTGTTTTTTTAAAGAGTATCAAATAATTTCGCCTGCTTCTGGTGTTTTTTTTTTTTTTTGAAGAGCATTAAAGAATTTGGGGTGACCTTAGTGTTTTTTTTTAGAGCGTAAATGTCTCTCAGGAGCTCAGTCTTTTCTTTGAAAGTGTATAATTTTTTTTTTTTTTAAGAATGTCAAGGAATTTCCGGATCGTCTAGTGTTTTTTTAAAGAGTATGAAATAATATCGGGTGCTGTTGGTGTTTATTTTCTTTTTTTGAAGAGCATTAAAGAATTTGGGAGGCTCCTATTTTTTTTAAAGTATTTAAAAGATCTTTGGAATTTGTAGTGTTTTTTAAAGAGTATAAAACAATGTCGGGTGCTCCTTGTATTTTTTTAAAAAGTATAAAAGAACCTCAAGAGCCTCTAATCTTTATTTTTGAAAAGTATTTAAAAGGAAACTATGAAATTTATAGTGTTTTTTTAATTAAAAGATTTGAAAGAGGTGAAAACAGAAAAGTACCTCATATTGTCTTTTTTTTTAACTATTAAAAAGCTCGGATGCTTATCGTGTTTTTTATAAATGTCAAGGAATTTCCGAATCCTCTAATGTTTTTTTAAAGAATATAAAAGAATATCGAGGACCCCTAATCTTTATTTTTGAAATGTTATTATTATTATTATTATTATTATTTAAAAAGATAACTCAACAGGCTATAGCCCAATTACTTTTTTTTTAAAGAAAACTAGGATTTATAATATTTTCTTTGTATCAAAATAGAGTTGAAAGTGGTGATCTTCAGTTTTTTTTTGAAGAACATACAAGTATCTTGGAAGCTCATATTGCTTTTCTTTGATAAAAAAATTAAAAAAACTCGGATGTTCATCGTTTTTTCATTTTTAAAAGTTACAAAAGAAACGCGGGTGTTCCAAGTGTGTTTTTTTTTTTTTTTTGAAAAGCGTAAAAGAATCTTCAGGGCCGCTATTTTTCTAAGGATTTAAAAGAGTCTGGGATTTGTAGTGTTTTTGAAAGAGTATAATAGAATCCCGGGTCCTACTCATGTCTTTTTAAGATTATAAAAGAAGTGTTTTTTCTTCTAAAGAGTGTAAAAGAATCTGTCAGACGGATAAACAGAAATGACTGAGAATTAAAACAATATTTGAAAAATAAATAATCAAATAGCTTAAATTTGAAAATGGCGCCACTACCGTGACGTCGGCGCCACTGTTATCCTACTAATAGACTCCACAAAAATCACATTTCTCGCTCTGTTAACCCAAAGCTCTCTCGCCAGCTTTAACAACCCAACAAGCAAAACCCATTTATGCAATAATTAATCCTCATACTAAAACAAACTTAATTCCATCACCGAAATTAACCCGTCAGTTTTAATCTAAATTAACGCAGACAACTTCGCCCCATTTCCTCCGATTTTTAAAAGTACCAAGAGCTTAAATTCCGCGACTTCTGCCGCAAACGCAGTTATTTGAAGCCGCGGCATTTAATGTCGTTAAATCAGCCTCGTAAAACCGCGTCTTCGGGCCACCATTTACAATGTAAATGCGCTGTTTGTGTTTAAGTTCAAAGCGTGCTTTTGTTTTTTAAAGCCGAAAATTTTCCAGGCCTGGCCCTACTTCGCCACGTTCATCCTCCTCGAAAACGTCCTTTTGTGGCTGCAGCGCCGACCCACGTTCCGCCTAAACGACGGCTTAACGAGTTTATCCCACGGTCTTTTGCAAGAATGTGGAAGGTTAGTAATTAAGAATAAATAGTTAATTGGGGCCACGAGATTACCGCGTTTACATTCATAATCATAACCCAATACCGGCGGTTCCAAGTCGAGCGATTTTCGCCCGTTTTGACAATAACGCGATTACCAAGACGGCACTTGTCAGACACTCGCCCGAATTTGCTTCCAAACCCCGATAACTCGAGGACTACAAGATACTCGTTCACCCCCATTACGCACCCTTTGTTATTGCAGATTGCTGTTCAGGGGTGGCGAGAGCTACGTCTACGTCTACGTTTACGATAAGTTCAGGCTGGTGGAGCTGCCGTGGGACCACTGGGTCACGTGGTATCTGGCGGCGGTGGGGGTGGACTTTTGCTACTACTGGGTGCACCGGGCCTGCCACGGTCAGAATTCCCTTATTATCATTATTATCATTAAAATAATTTTTGTTTTTTGTTTTTAGAAGTACACATCCTGTGGGCTCAGCACCAGGTCCACCACAGCTCGGAGGAGTTCAACCTGGCGGTGGGGCTGCGGCAGAGCGTGTTCCAGGGGTGGTGCGGCTTCGTAAGTAGATGCGGTGAAATTGAGCTTAGTGGGGTCAGTAAATCGGGGTTTGGGGTTATATGAAGTCGTATTTCATCGCCGGGAGCAGGAAACGGCTGGTTTATGAAAAGCTGTAAATCGGAGCCGAAGGTGGAGCTTCGGGGAGCTTTTGTTTTGGTTTTTGTTTTTAAATGAGTGATTTGGGGGATTCGCGTTTTGTGCAAGTTCGTTTAAATGGAAAAATTGTCCTCTGAATTGAAAAAAAAAACCATTTTGCAATGTTTGTGTTATTGTCATAGGAGTCATTTGAAGAATTTTGTCTATCGTCTGTCTTCTGGAATTTAATTAAATTTCTTTTAAGTCATATCTCATTTGCGAAAATCAGTCTTAACTTAGCAGGTACTAGCCCCGCCCACCCACCCTATCGTTTTTTAGAAGGTATGTGAGTTGCCAAAATCACTCTTATTGTAGCAGGAACTAGCCTCGCCCACCCACCCTCTCTTTGCATAGAGGGTATGTCATTTGCCAAAATCAGTTTTACTTGCTAAGATAAAACTGACTGCAGCAAATGACATACGTTCTAAAAGAATAGACGGTGGGGAGGGCGGGGCTAGTACTTGTTATCGTAAGACTGATTTTGGTAAACGACGTACTCTTTAAAAAAATAAAGGGTGGGTGGCGCTAGTATTCGCTAAGATAAGACTGATTGTGGCAAATGATATACCTCCTAAGAAAACAGAGGGCGGGCGGGCGGGGCTAAAACCTGCTAAGATAGAACTGAACAATATTAAGAGTCACTGGAATGATGAACGGGTGGGTGGGCGGGGCTACTGTTTGTTCATAAAACTAAATTTTTTCGTAATCTACAACATAAAGATTTTTTTATTTTTTTTGGAACTCCTGAAACCCCGGTACATAGCGTACTGAAGAGTTAATTCGCCATTTTCCAGACACCCGGTATAGGAATTGAAAAATCGGACTATTGTGAAATTACAAAATTGCAAAATTGGAAACTTTGGAAATTGAACAATGGAAAATTTGAAAATTTTAAATTTGAAAATTTTAAATTTAAAAACATTGGAAATCGGCAAAATGAAAAATTGAAAAAATTCAAGTTTAAAACTCGAAAAATTGGAACAACCGAAAACTGAAGTTCGAAAAATTGAAGAATCGAAGAAAAATCGAGCATTTGAAATATCTGAAAATTAAAGAAATGAAAAATTACAAAATCAGAATTTTCAAAAATTTTAAAATATACAATTTTGGAACTGAATATTTAAAATTTGAAAAATTGAAAATTTAAAATATAGGAATTGAAAAATGTGACAATTGTGACATTACAAATTACAAAATTGGAAAATTGGAACTCTGAAGCTTGAAAAAATCGAGTAATTGAAAATTTTAAATTTCAAAAAAATTGAAAATCGGCAAAATGAAAAACTGAAAAAATTAAACTCGAAAAATTGAAACAACAAAAAATGAAGGATCGAAAAATTGAAGAAAAGAAAAACATCGAGCATTTGTAATATATGACAATTGAAGAAATGGAAAAATTACAAAATCAAAATTTTCAAAAATTTAAAAACACAAAATTTTAGAACTTAATTCCAGAAAAAGTGAAAATATGAAAAAATTAAAATTGAAAACAGCAAATTGAAGAAACCAAAAAGTGAAAAATAAATTGAGAAACCAAAAATTAAAAATTAGTAAACAAGGAAAATTGAAAAAATAAAAATCAAAAATAGAAAAATTAAAACATTTAAACTTCAAAATTTGAAAAATTGATGCAAATTATCGAAAAATTGAAAAAAGGAAAAACTAAAAAATCAAGTAAACGAAAGTTGAAAGATCGTACATTTTAAAAATTTGAAAGTTGAAAAAATGAAAAATTACAAAATTCAAGTACTTGAAAAACACAAAATTTTACAAATGAAATCTAGAAAAATTGTAAATCCAGAAACTAAAGGAATAAAAAATTGAAAAATTCAAAATAATCTAAATAATGAAGAAATGAGTAATAAAAAATCCAAAAATTGTAAATGAGAAAATTTGAAAAATTGAAATTGAAAACGGGAAAAATTGTAAATCAAAAAACTAAAAAAATTATCTCGGGGGTCCCATTGTTTTTTGTAAAAAATTGAAAAGAATTTCGATGATCTCCAGTGTTTTTTTTAAGAATTTAAAGAATCACGGGAGATTTGTACAAAAACGGCACAACAAAGCTCAAATAAAGACCGGAGAAGTGACCAAAAAGGGAGAAAAAAAAGGCGAAAAACGGATGAAACGAGGGAAAAAAAAGTAACCAAAACCTAAATAGGAGCAACAAAAGAGCGTTAAAAAGGCGATAAAACAGGCGATACTAAAAAAAAACGAAAAAAAAATTGTCAAAAAAAACGGATTAAAAAAATAACGATGAAAAAGGGACAAAAAACGACTAAAAAAGTGACAAAAAGAATAAAACGGGTCAAAAAAATATCGATGAAATATTGGTGAAAAAGGGACAAAAAACGACTAACAAATTGACAAAAATGACACAAAAGGGTCAAAAAGGCACCAAAACAGGAATAAGTGAAAACAGGGACATGTGAGGGAAAAATGCGATGAATAAAATCGTCCAAAAAGAAAATTAGAAAAAAAAAAGGGTCAAACAAAATCGGTAATAAGATGGAATCAAAAAGACGTGATAAAGGAAAGGCAATAAAAAACAGCCAAAGGAAAAAGACGCCAACAAGAACTTCGAAAAGGGGTAGAAAAAAGCTCTCACAAAAGAAAAAAAGGAACAAAAAAAATTGGAAAAAAAGAAGAGAGAAGAAAAAGTACAAAAAACAAGACAAAAATAAGGACAAAAATGTGGGCCAACAAAAAAGTGTCAAAAAAAGGTGACATAAAGCGGTTAAAAGAAACAAAAATTGCGTTATAAAAAATGACCAAAGAACAATAAAAAGAGCAATAAAAAAGGGGGATAAAAACGCAGGATAAAATAGCGATACTCAAAACGGCAAAAAAGGGACACAAAAACACAAAATAGGTCGATTAAAAAAGATGACAAAAATGCCAAAACAGCAGCAGAAAAAAGAAAAAGTGAAAAAAGGGGAAGAAAAATGCGACAAAGTAGGAGCAAGAAAAAGTACTTCAAAGAAAAAAGGCGCCAAGAAAACCTCAAAAATTTCTTTAAAAATCTCCCACAAAGGAGAAAAAAAAGGAACAAAAAATGCGAAAAAGAGACAAAACAGGTAGATTAAATGCCGATAATAAAGAAGAAATAGTTAAAAAAAAAAATTTAAATGAATCTCGGGGGTCCTTTGTGTATTACTAATTTAAAAAAAAGCTAGAGGGACTGTAACAATTTCCGAAAGATCTAAAATATCCAGAAGATCCAGAAAATCTCGGAAATCCAACAAATTCAAGAAATCCGAGAAATCGAAAAGCCGAAAAAATTCAAAAAACCCAAAAAAACACTAAAACCCCAAGAAACTCAAGAAACTGAATAATACAAAAAATCAAAACTATCTAAAAAGTTTAAACATTCCAAAAAATCCAAGAATTTTAAAAATCCAAAAATCTAAAAAATCCAAAAAATTAAAAAAATCCAAGAAATCCAAGAAGTCCAGAAGATCCGAAAGATCTGAAAAATCTGAAAGATCCAGAAGATTCAGAAAATCGCGCAAATCAAACAAATTCACGAAATCCAAGATATCCAAGAAATCGAAAAACTATAAAATTCAAAAAAAACCCAAAAAATAATAGAATTCCAAGAAACTCAAGAAATTGAGTAATCCAAAAAAACGAAAATATCCAAACAGGTTAAATAAACGAAAAAATCCAAGAATTTTAAAAATTCAAAAGTCTAAAAAATCCAAGAAACAGAAGAAACTCGAAAAATTTCAGAATTCCTATCATTTGAAAAATCCAGAAAATGGAAAATATTTAAAAAAGCAGTGAATAATAAAAGCAAATCCTAAAAAATGTTCAAAAAAATGGGAAAAAAATCTAAAACTAAAATCTAAACATCAAAAATTCCAAAAATGCAACAAGCTGAAAGAAGCCAAATGATCCAAAAGATCCGAAAGATACGAAATATGCAAAAGATCCAAAATATCTAAAAGATCCAAAATACCCAAAATAACCAAAAGATCCAAAAGAAGATCCAGAAAATCCAAAAAATCAAAAAAAAATTGCAGAAATGAAAAATTGAAAAATCGAGAAATTGGACAATCGCTAAATTGCAACTCGAAAAATTAAAAAAAAAACTAAAAAATAAAAGCAAAAAACCTGGGAGACACCAAGCGCATTTTCTTTTTTTTTAATTTTAAAGTATCTCGGGGTTCCCATTATATTTTGTAAAAAATTGAAAAGAATTTCGATGATCTCCAGTGTTTTTTTTTTAAGAATTTAAAAGAATCACGGGAAATTTGTACAAAAACGGCAGAACAAAGCTCAAATAAAGGCCGGAAAAGCGACCAAAAAGGGAGAAAAAAAAGGCGAGAAGCGAATGAAACGAGGGAGAAAAAAAGTAACCAAAAACCTAAAAAGGAGCAACAAAGAAGCGTTATAAAGACGACAAAACAGGCAATACTAAAAAAAAAAAAAATATCCATGAAAAATTGATGAAAAAGGGACAAAAAAAAGACTAAAAAAGATTTCAGTCACCATCGTTACTAAGAAATCAGAAAGTAAGCCAGAGATATTCATGCATTAGGTGCGTGCAGTGTTGCCAATTTTACTTTTATAAAAAATTTTTCGTAATCTACAACATAAAGAATTTTTTTTTTTGGAACTCCCGAAACCCTGGTACATGACGTACTGAAGAGTTAATTCGCCATTTTCCAGACACCCGGTATCGGACTATTGTGAAATTACAAAATTGCAAAATTGGAACTCTGAAGCTTGAAAAATCGAAAATTTGAAAATTTTAAATTTCAAAAAAATTGAAAATCGGCAAAATAAAAAATTGAAAAAACTCAAGTTTAAAACTCGAAAAATTGAAACAACAAAAAAATGACGGATCGAAAAATTGAAGAGTAGAGAAAAATCGAGCATTTCTAATATTTGACAATTGAAGAAATGGAAAAATTACAAAATCAAAATTTTCAAAAATTTAAAAACACAAAATTTTAGAACTAAATTCCAGAAAAAGTTAAAATTTGAAAGTTTGAAAAAATTAAAATTGAAAGCGGCAAATTGAAGAAACCAAAAAGTGAAAAATAAATTGAGAAACCAAAAATAAAAAATTCAAAAATTGGTAAACAAGGAAAATTGAAAAAATAAAAATCCAAAAATAGAAAAATTAAGACATTTTAACTTCAAAGCTTGAAAAATTGATGCAAATTATCAAAAAATTGAAAAAAGGGAAAACTAAAAAATCAAGTAAACGAAAGTTGAAAGATCGTACATTTTAAAAATCTGAAAGTTGAAAAAATGAAAAATTACAAAATTCAGCTTACTTGAAAACACAAAATTTTACAAATGAAATCTAGAAAAATTGTAAATCCAAAAACTAAAGGAATAACAAATTTGAAAAATTCAAAATATGTTATCTAAATAATGAAGAAATGAGTAATTAAAAAATCCAAAAATTCTAAATGAGAAACTTAGAAAAATTGAAATTGAAAACGGGAAAAATTGTAAATCAAAAAACTAAAAAAAGTATCTCGGGGACCCCATTGTTTTTGGTAAAAAATTGAAAAGAATTTCGCTGATCTCCAGTGTTTTCTTTCAGAATTTAAAAGAATCACGGGAGATTTGTACAAAAACGGCAGAACAAAGTTCAAATAAAGACCGGAAAAGTGACCAAAAAAGGAGAAAAAAAAGGCGAGAAACGGATGAAACGAGGGAGAAAAAAGTAACCAAAAATCTAAATAGGAGCAACAAAAGAGCGTTAAAAAGGCGATAAAACAGGCGATCCTAAAAAAAAAACAAAAAAAAATGGTCAAAAAAAACGACTTAAAAAAATAACGACGAAAAAGGGACAAAAAACGACTAAAAAAGTGACAAAAAGAATAAAACGGGTCAAAAAAATATGGATGAAATAATGAAAAAGGGACACAAAACGACTATAAAATTGACAAAAATGACACAAAAGGGTCAAAAAGGCACCAAAACATGGAAAAATTGAAAACAGGGACATGTGAGGGAAAAATGCGACGAATAAAATCGTCCAAAAAGAAAATTAAAAAAAAAGGAGCAAACAAAATCGGTAATAAAATGGAATCAAAAAGACGTGACAAAGGAAAGGCAATAAAAAACAGCCAAAGGAAAAAGACGCCAACAAGAACTTCGAAAAGGGGTAGAAAAAAGCTCTCACAAAAGAAAAAAAGTAACAAAAAAAATTTGAAAAAAAGAAGAGAGAAGAAAAAGTACAAAAAACAAGACAAAAATAAGGACAAAAATGTGGGCCAACAAAAAAAAGCGTCAAAAAAAAGGTGACATAAGGCGGTTAAAAGAAACAAAAATTGCGTTATAAAAAATGACCAAAGAACAATAAAAAGAGCAATAAAAAAGGGCGATAAAAACGGAGGATAAAATAGCGATACACAAAACGGCAAAAAAGGGACACAAAAACACAAAATAGGTCCATTAAAAAAGATGATAAAAATGCCAAAAAAGCAGCAGATAAAAGAAAAAGTGAAAAAAGGGGGAAAAAAATGCGACAAAGTAGGGGCAACAAAAAGTACCTCAAAGAAAAAAGGCGCCAAGGAAACCTCAAAAAGTTCTTAAAAAATCTCACACAAAGGAGAAAAAAGGGAACAAAAAATGTGAAAAAGAGACAAAACAGGAAGACTAAATGCCGATAATAAAGAAGAAATAGTTTTTAAAAAAAATTTAAATGAATCTCGGGGGTCCTTTGTGTATTACTAATTTAAAAAAAAGCTAGAGGGACTGTAACAATTTCCGAAAGATCTAAAATATCCAGAAGATCCCGAAAATGTCGGAAATCCAACAAATTCAAGAAATCCGATAAATCTAAAAGCCGAAAAAATTTAAAAAACCCAAAAAACACTAAAATCCCAAGAAACTCAAGAAATTGAATAATACAAAAAATCAAAACTATCTAAAAAGTTTAAACAATCCAAAAAATCTAAGAATTTTAAAAATCCAAAAATCTAAAAAATCCAAAAAATTAAGAAAATCTAAGAAATTCAAGAAGTCCAGAAGATCCGAAAGATCTGAAAAATCTGAAAGATCCAAACTATCCAGAAGATCCAGAAGATTCAGAAAATCGCGCAAATCCAACAAATTCACGAAATCCAAGATATCCAAGAAATCGAAAAATTATAAAATCCAAAAAAAAACCCAAAAAATAATAGAATTCCAAGAAACTCAAGAAATTGAATAATCCAAAAAAAAGAAAATATCCAAACGGGTTAAATCATCCAAAAAATCCAAGAATTTTAAAAATTCAAAAGTCTAAAAAATCCAAGAAACAGAAGAAACTCGAAAAATTTCAGAATTCCTATCATTTGAAAAATCCAGAAAATGGAAAATATTTAAAAAAGCAGAGAATAATAAAAGCAAATCGTAAAAATGATCAAAAAAATGGAAAAAACCCAAAACTAAAATCTAAACACCAATCAAAAATTCCAAAAATGCACCAAGCTAAAAGAAGCCAAAAGATCCAAAAGAAGATCCAGAAAATCCAAAAAATCCAAAAAAAATTGGAGAAATGAAAAATTGAAAAATCGAGAAATTGGACAATCGCTAAATTGCAACTGGAAAAATTAAAAAAAACTAAAAAACAAAAACAAAAAACCTGGGAGACACGAAGCGCATTTTCTTTTTTTTAATTTTATAGTATCTCGGGGTTCCCATTGTATTTTGTAAAAAATTGAAAAGAATTTCGATGATCTCCAGTGTTTTTTTTAAGAATTTAAAAGAATCACGGGAGATTTGTACAAACACGGCAGAACAAAGCTCAAATAAAGACCGGAAAAGTGACCAAAAAGGGAGAAAAAAAGGCGAGAAACGGATGAAACGAGGGAGAAAAAAACTAACCAAAAACCTAAAAAGGAGCAACAAAAGAGCGTTAAAAAGACGACAAAACAGGCAATACTCAAAAAAGAAGAAAAAAAAAGACAGAAAAAACGGGTCGAAAAAATATCGATGAAAAATTGATGAAAAAGGGACAAAAAAAAAAACAAAAAATTGACAAAAATGACACAAAAGGGTCAAAAAGGCAACAAAACAGGAAACAGTGAAAAAAAGGACATGTGAGGGAAAAAATGCGACAAATAAAATCGTCCAAAAAGAAAATTAGAAAAAAAAAGGAGCAACTAAAACGGTAATAAAATGGAATCAAAAAGACGTGACAAAGGAAAGGCATCAAAAAACATCGAAAAGGGGTCGAAAAAAGCTCTCACAAAAGAAAAAAAGGAACAAAAAAATTTGAAAAAAAGGATAGAGAAGAAAAGGTACAAAAACAAGGACAAAAATGTGGGTTAACAAAAAAAAAGCGTCAAAAAAAAGGTGACATAAGGAGCGATATCCAAAAAGCCAGAAAAGGCGGTTAAAAGAAACAAAAATTGCGTTATAAAAAATGACCAAAAAAACAATAAAAAGAGCAATAAAAAGGGCGATAAAAAAGGAGGATAAAATAGCCATACTCAAAAAAGGCGAAAAAAGGGACACAAAAACGCAAAATATCTCGATAAAAATGGGACAAAAATTCGACTAAAAAAGATGACAAAAAAATATGACAAAAATGCCAAAAAAGCAGCAGAAAAAAGAAAAATTGAAAAAAGGGGAAGAAAAATGCGACAAAGAGACAAAACAGGTAGATTAAACGCCAATAATGAAGAAGAAATAGTTTTTAAAAAGAATTTAAATGAATCTCAGGGGTCCTTTGTGTATTACTGAGATTTTTAAAAAAATCTAGAGGGACTGTAACAGTTTTTTTTTTCAAAAAATTTGCAAGGTCTCCAATAGTTTTTTTTTCCAAAAAAATTACTTAAAGAATCTCGATAACACTTAATGTACTTAAAAAAAAAATAAAGGATCTTGGGGAACTTCAGTGTCTCGGAGGTTTTATTTTTTTTGAAAGATTTAAAAGAATTTTTGGACCTTTCGTTTTTTCTTTTTCGAAAGAATTTAAAAGAAAATGGCCAGAGCAAATGCTAGACGAGTTTTGTCTAAATAATTTGAGACAATTAATTTATAGGCAAATTTATTCGTTGTCTGATGATTCCATTAGTGATTAGCATAAATAGTTCTCATCTTTGACATTTATTTTAAGCTTAATCATTCCCATTAAGACGCAGTACCTCGATTTAATAATATTCATTATTTACTGGAATTTTTTCCCATCTAGAAAAATCGTACCAAATTACCACTGAATAATTCAAGAACCCAGCGACTAAATATAGAACCTGCAGACATAATTATTTCTATTATCATCAAAGTACAACGAACGCTTATATCACAACAAACTTTGTTAGCCTTGTATGTTAAAATTAACACACTAGTGTTAAAAACTGCTTTATCGTTCCACGTCGGGAGTACTTTGCGGAATCATACGGTCCTTGTCCTTTCTACATCTACCCATCCCACCAAACCTTTGATGACGTAATCCAAAACTATGCTAAGCAACTTCCATTCAAAACATCGACTCCACGTGCCCCCTATGACCGCGCCCCACCCCTCCCACGCACCACTTTACTTATTTAACAACAAATTCGAACCCAATTTAAACGTCGCCATCAAAGAGCTTTCGCGTCCAATTTTATTTTAGCATGCAACATCCGTAATTGCGTATATTAAGCCCCATGAATGATTGATGGCACCGCTGAAATTACTTTTGCTTCATTTATTTCAATTAACGACAGTCGGATCGAATTTTCCGTTTCGCTTCACATTCCTTTCGCATTTTTTCGCAGTGTTTTCGGGATTATTAAGCGGCTGGATGTAATTTAGGCGCTGCAGCAGTTTTTTTTGTTGCAGATTTTTTATCTACCCCTAGCCGTTGCCATCCCGCCGTCGCATTTCGTCACGCACCAGCAGTTTAATCTGCTTTATCAGTTTTGGATTCATACCAAGAGCGTGAGGACGCTGGGGCCCCTGGAGGTGGTTTTCAACACGCCGCAGCACCATCGGGTGCATCATGGTAACGATTTTTTTATCCTATTTTCCTTTTTTATTTTTTGTGGGGGATGCGAAAAATTTAATCCAGGGTTTTTCTGCTACAGGCGCTAATATTTACTGCCTGGATAAGAATTATGGGGGTGTTCTTATTATCTGGGATCGCTTGTTTGGGACGTTTGCGGAGGAACGGCAAGACGAAGAGATCGTTTATGGGTTGGTGATGAATCAGCCCTCTTTCAATCTCTTACATTTACAAGTAAGTTTTATAAAAATCTAGATTTTTGGAAAACTAAATAAATAAAACCTTTGTAATACAGTCCTGAAACAAAAATTTAAAATAATTTAAATAATCTCGGAAGTCCTTCTTTTCCACTTTTTAAAAAAATAGATTTAAAGGACTCTTTTCTACCTATTTTTCCAAAAATAAAATATCAATGACCCTCATGTACTCCTGTTTTTTTTTTAAGAAATTAAAAGAATCTTGGGGGCTCCTGGTGTTTTCTTTTTTCAAGAAGTTGAAAGAATTTCAGGGATTTCTGACGCTTTGTTTTTGAAAAAAATTAATTGAATCTCCGGGGCTTCTAGTATTTTTTTTAATTTGAAAGAATCTCGGAGATTTCTAGAATTTTATTAAAAAAAAAATTAAATCTCAGGGTTTCGGACGTTTTGCTTTTGAGAAAATTTCATGGATTCTTGAGGTTTCCTATTGTTTTATGAAAGAATCGCAGAAGTTTCTGATGTTTTGTTGCTCAAAAAATTTAATAGAATCTCAAGGGAATCTAGTGTTTGTGTTTTAAGACGTTAAAAGAACTTCGGGAATTTCTATTATTTTCTAAAAAAAAAAAAATTGGAAGAATTTTGGGTACCCTAGTGTTCTTTAACAATCTCAGGGTTCTCTGATGGTTTTTTCTGAAAAAAATTGAGTGAGTCTCGGGCCCCTAGTGTTTTTTAAGAAATTCAAAGACTTGGAGGTTTCTAATGTTTTGTTCCTAAAAAAATTTGATAGAATTTCGGGGGTTTCAAGTGTTTTTTTTAAGTTAAAAGAATCACGGGGATTTCTAAAATTTTGTTTATGAAAAAATTTCATGGAATCTCGGGGGTTGCTAGCGTTTTATGAAAGAATTTTAGGGGTTTCTGATGTTCTCTTCCTGAAAAAATTTAATAGAATCTCGGGTGTTTCTAATATTTTCTTAAAAAAAAGAAAGAATCTGGGGAAGGGGGAGGGTAAGTGTTTTTTAAGGAGTTGAAATAATCTCAGGACTTAAAAAAAAAATTAAATCTCGGAGGTTTTGGATGTTCTTGAAAAAAAAAATGGAATTTCGGGGCCACTTTGCAAAATCCAAAATTGAGAAATTGAAAAATTAAAAAATCGAAGAATTGATCATTTCCAAAAATCAAAAAATTAAAAATCGACACCAAAAACCGAGAAGTTGAAAACTGGAAAATCGAAAAAATAAAATATCTAAGAATTATAAAATTAAATGAAAAACGAAAAATTGAACATTTTTGTACAGAAAGAAGTAAAAAAAAACAAAAATAAAAAATTGGAAAATCGATAAATTAAGAAAACAAAAAATTGTAAAATTTGAAACTTGCATAATTTCAGTTGAAGATCCAAAAATTTTAAATAGAAAAAGTGTAAACCAAAAAATTAGAGAAAAGAAATATTAAAAAATCGGAATATTGAAAATCGAAAAACTGGACGATCGAAAAATTGGAACAATATTGAAGAAATTAAAAATTGAAACATAAAAACATCAAAAAATTCAAGAAATGATAAAGAGAAAAATCAAACAACTACAAATCAAAGGATCGAAAAACTGAAAAATGTAAAATTTATAAAATCTATAAATTGAAGCATTCAAAAAGTTAAAAACTGAGAAGCTAAAGATTAGAGTATTGAAAAAATCTAAAAACTGAAAACTTTAAAAATTAAATTAAAATTATAAAGTGAACAAATCAAGAACTTGAAGAAACGAAGAGTACAAATATCAAAAAATTAAAAATCGAAAAATTGTAAATTGAAAAATCGAAAAATTGAAAATCTAAAAAAATGGACGATCCAAAATTAAAAAACAAAAATACAAAAATTTAAAATTGAGAACCTGAACAATTGCAAATCATAAATTTAAAAATTAATAATAATATAAACCGAGAAGACTTGAAAAATGAAAAAAATGAAACGATAAATAGCCAAATAAAAAAAAACAAATCAAGAAATTAAAAATCAAAAAATTGTAAAATGACAAACGGTGAAATTCAGAAATTTAGAGAGGAAAAAAAATCTCGAGACTAAAAAATGGAAATAGGAACTAAAAAAACTCAAAATTGAAAAATCCCAGATCAAAAAATGCAAATCAGAATCAGAAGATCCAGAAAATCAAAAAAATTCAAGAAAGCCAAGAAATCGAAGGAATCCAAAAAATCGAAGAAAAGAAATCGTGAAATTCCAAAAAATCCAGAAAATCCAGAAGATCCAAAAAACCCAGAAGATCCAGAAAATCCAAAAAATCTATGAAACCCGGAAAACGCAGGAACTCCAAAAAATCCAAGAAATCCAAGAAATCAAAAAGATCCAAAAGATTTGAAAAATCCGAAAGATCTAAAATATCCAGAAGATACCGAAAATCTCGGAAATCCAACAAATTCAAGAAATCCGAGAAATCGAAAAGGCGAAAAAATTCAAAAAACCCAAAAAATACTAGAATCCCAAGAAACTCAAGAAATTGAATAATACAAAAAATCAAAACTATCTAAAAAGTTTAAATAATTCAAAAAATCCAAGAATTTTAAAAATCCAAAAATCTAAAAAATCCAAGAAATCCAAGAAGTCCAGAAGATCCGAAAAATCTGAAAGATCCAAACTATCCAGAAGATCTAGAAGATTCAGAAAATCTAGAAAATCCCGCAAATCCAACAAATTGAGGAAATCCAAGATATCCAAGAAATCGAAAAACTCTAAAAAATCCAAAGACTTATTAGAATTTAAATAGGTAATCCAAAAAATCCAAGAATTTTAAAAATTCAAAAGTCTAAAAAATCCAAGAAACAGAAGAAACTCGAAAAATTCCAGAATTCCTATCATTTCAAAAATCCAGGAAATGGAAAATATTTAAAAAAATCAGAAAATAATGAAAGCAAATCGTAAAAATGATCGAAAAAATTTAAAAAAATCCAAAAATAAAATCTAAAGCCAAACAATCAAAAATTCCAAAATTGCAACAGGCTCAAAGAAGCCAAATGATTCAAAAGATCCGAAAAATACGAAATATGCAAAAGATCCAAAATATCCACAAGAGCTAAAATAACCAAAAGATCCAAAAGGTTCAAAAAATCCAAAAAATCCAAGAAAAAAAATTGGAGAAATGAAAAATTGAAAAATCGAGAAACTGGACAATCGCTAAATTGCAACTCTTTCGAATTGAAGAAATCAAAAATTGAAAATTGAAAAAAGTTCTAAAAACTAAAGAAACGATAAACGGAAAAATCAAAAAATTGCAAATCGGATCCAAAATATCCAAAAGACACAAATAACCAAAAGATCCAAAGATCCAAAAGGTTCAAAAAATCCAAAAAATCCAAGAAAAAAAATTGGAGAAATGAAAAATTGAAAAATCGAGAAACTGGACAATCGCTAAATTGCAACTCTTTCGAATTGAAGAAATGAAAAATTGAAAAATGAAAAAAATTCAAAAAACTAAAGAAACGATAAACAGAAAAATCAAAAAATTACCAATCGGGAAATTAAAAATCAAAGAATCGAAAAATGAAAAACCGTGAAATTGAAAATTCTAAAAAATTTAAAAATCTACAAATTCAAAAATTTTAAATTGAAGACTTGAAAAATTGTAAAATAAAAGTCGAAAAGTTAAAACCAATAAATGAGATTAAAAATTGGAAAAATTGAAAAATTAAAAGTAGGGAAATTGAAAAACCGAAAAGTAAGAATCTGATTGCTAATAATTTCTTTAAAAAAAATTGAAAGAATGGGCGGGGGGGGGGAGAAATTGAAAATTTTCATATTGAAAGCTAGGAAAAAATCTCGAGACTGAAAAATGGAAATAGGAACTAAAAAAACTCAAAATTGAATAATCCCAGATCAAAAAATGCAAATCAAAATCAGAAGATCCAGAAAATCCAAAAAATTCAAGAAAGCCAAGAAACCGAAGGAATCCAAAAAATCGAAGAAAAGAAATCGTAAAATTCCAAAAAATCCAGAAAATCCAAAAAATCTATGAAACACGGAAAACGCAGGAAATCCAAAAAATCCAAGAAATCTAAGAAATTTCAGAAATCAAAAAGATCCAAAAGATTTAAAAAATCCGAAAGATCTAAAATATCTAGAAGATCCCGAAAATCTCGGAAATCCAACAAATCCAAGAAATCCGAGAAATCGAAAAGCCAAAAAAATTCAAAAAACCCAAAAAATACTAGATCGAGAAAACGTAAAAGTAGAGAGTCGGCCGACGGACTCGATTACAATACTTCCTTTGCTTACGCTCGGGAAGTAAAAATCCAAGAATTTTAAAAATCCAAAAATCTAAAAAATCCAAAAAATTAAAAAAATCCAAGTAATCCAAGAAGTCCAGAACATCCGAAAGATTTGAAAAATCTGAAAGATCCAAACTATCCAGAAGATCCAGCAGATTCAGAAAATCTAGAAAATCCCGCAAATCCAAGAAATTTACGAAATCCAAGATATCCAAGAAATCGAAAAACTCTAAAAAATCCAAAAAACCCAAAAAATAATACAATTCCAAGAACTCAAGAAATTGAATAATCCAAAAAAAAACGAAAATATCCAAACAGTTTAAATAATCCAAAAAATCCAAGAATTTTAAAAATTCAAAAGTCTAAAAAATCCAAGAAACAGAAGAAACTCGAAAAATTCCAGAATTCCTATCATTTCAAAAATCCAGGAAATGGAAAATTTAAAAAATCAGAAAATAATAAAAACAAATCGTAAAAATGATCGAAAAAATTAAAAAAAATCCAAAAATAAAATCTAAAACCAAACAACCAAAAATTCCAAAATTGCAACAAGCTCAAAGAAGCCAAATGATCCAAAAGATCTAAAAGGTCCAAAAAATCCAAGAAAAAAAATGGAGAAATGAAAAATTGAAAAATCGTGAAACTGGACAATCGCTAAATTGCAACTCCAAAAATTGAAGAAATCAAAAATTGAAAAATGAAAAAAATTCAAAAAACTAAAACGATGAACAGAAAAATAAAAAAATTGCAAATCGGGAAATTAAAAATCAAAGAATCGAAAAATGAAAACCGTGAAATTAAAAATCTACAAATTCAAAAATTTTAAAAATCAAAAATGAGATTAACAATCACAAAAACTGAAAAATTAAAACTACATACATTGAAAAATTGTACATTGAGACAAACGAAAAAATTATTAATCCGAAGACTGAAAAATCGAAAAATTAAAAAATCCTAAAACAAAAAGGTTGCAAATCGAAGAATTGAAGAAATCAAAAATTAAAAAATTGAAAAATAAAACATCTAAAAATTGTAAAAGCGAAAATTACAAAATAAAAATGAAAAATTTAAACAGTGAGAAATTAAATGAAAAACGAAAAATTTAAAATTTTTAAATTGAAACGAAAAATTGAAAAATCGATAAAGTAATTGAAAAACCGTGCTGTTTTTTAAAAATCTGAAAGAATCTCGGGGACATCTAATGTTTTTTAAAAGGATTTAGAAAATCTCAAGAACCCTTGATGGGTTTAAAAAGAGATTGAAAATATCTCCTGTCCAGGTTTATGGAATAAATTCAAAATCGTACAACAAAACGTTAGAATTTCTCCCAGAAACCAATAAATCCACGTAAAATCTAACCAGAATGTATCTATCTATTCATCCCCACCACAATTTTGCTGACGCCACCTCAAAAATTTGCTAAGCCACTTTCCAAATAAAACACCTACTTCAACCAAGTCTAAATAACCTCAGACCAATTCTTAATTGGAATGTGCACCCCTAGGCATCGTCTTTTCGTCTGAACGAAAATTGTGTAGGCAGAAAAATAACAAAACAGAATGCGAGTGTCTGCTTTTGAATAACGTAAAAGTTCCCGGACAGAATCTTGTTTTATGCTACGATGCGTAGTTTTAACGAGTCGGAATGTAAATGAAACGAGAATCCGCACTATGCGTATTTCGTACCTTCATTCTAGAAAAAAATCTCCGATTATACTTGTACTAACAGACAGCGATTTATTATTTCCAGACCTTCTACACGCTTCATGTTGCTGAAAAGTTCAAACAAATGACTTCCTGGCAGGATAAGCTTGCGGCGATATTTTACGGGCCGAGCTGGGAGCCGGGAAAGCCCCGATTAGGCCTCGAGCAAGATAAAATTAAAGTAAGTTGTTTGGCTTCTCGAGTAGCGACTCAAGTGGCGTGACGTAATCGATCGTCGACGCGCTGATTGGCGCGATGATTCCGTCGCCTGCTTGATGGCGGGTCAACGCGAAATGAACAAATTCCTCATAATTTATCCTGTGACATTTAACCCCGGCTCGTTTCAGGTGGTAGCGAGGGAGAAATACGAGGTGAAATTGCCACTTTGGTGTAATGTTTACCTTTTCATCCACTTCTGCTTCGTCGTTTACGGGTTTCAAGAGTTAGCGGCCCGACATATGGTAAGGAAGTATTTATTTTCAATTCGAAATTCCGCTCTAAATGGAAAACGCCGAAATTGTCTTTTTAAACGCATTAATTCGCCGGCTTCCGTAACGAGAATTTGATGAAATTTCCTGGCGATGTGGTGTTATTAAGATTTTGTGAGAAAGAAATTAGCTCACGTGATGTTAAGAAGAGTTTAATATTTTGTGACTTACCGGCTTATTATTGGTTTATAATGGCGTGAATATGAAGTTATTGGCTGAATAATACCCTAAGGCATTAAGAATAGTTGTCATAGTAACGTCAACAGAAAACGCCATTGGTTGTAAACCAACTATTACTTAATGTATTGATGGTTGTGTTTATACGGCGACAGCGCTAATTTAAAAATCTAAAATATCCACAAAATGGAAAATATCCCAAAAAATCTGAAATTAAAAAAAATTAAAGTTATGCAAAAATTGAAAAATTTAATAAATCCAAAATTATAAAAAGAAAACAGAAGGTCTGAAAAATCCAAACAATACAAAAAAGACCAAAAACTGAAGGAATAAAAAAAAACAAGAAATTCGATAAATCCGATAATCTAAAAATCCGAAAAATCCCAAATATCCGAAGAATCCAAGATTTCCGAAAAATCTGAAAAATCCGAGAAATCCGAGAATCTAAAAAATTCAAAACATCCAAGAGATCCAAACGATACAAATCTCAAAAGACCCAGAAAATCCAGGAAATTCAAGAAATCCAAAGAATAAAATCCAAGACTTCCAAGAAATCCATTAAACGCGGGTAATCAAGAAAATCAAAGAAATTCAAGAAATCCAAGAAACCCAAGAAATGGAAGAAATCGAAAAAATCCAACAAATTCAAGAAATACAAAAAATCGAAAATATCCGAAAAGTTCAAAAAAATCCAAAAATCAACTTCAAAAATTTTAAAAATGTTAATAAAAACTAAAAAAAACCAAAGAAACTCAAGACATCCAATAATTCCAAAAAAACAAAAAAATAAAAAAAAAATCAAAAAAAAATCAAAAAATCCAAAAGATACAAAAGAATCCAGAAAACCCAAGAAATTCAAAAATCTAAAAAATGCAAAAATTCGAAGAATCCAAAAAATCCAAGAATTACTATCATTTCAAAAATCCAGACAATGGAAAATATCTCAAAAATCAGAAAATAAAAAAAGCGAGTAATAAAAATTATCCAAAAAATTGACACAATTGAAAAAAATGCAAAAATAAAATCTAAAAACGAAAGAAATGCAACAAATTCAAAGAATCCAAATGATCCAAAACATCCGAGAGATCCCAAAGATCCAAAAGATTTAGAAGATCCAGAAAATTCAGAAAATTTAAATAATAAGAAGTCCAAGAAATCTAGGAAACTCAGGAAATCCAGGAATTCCAAGAAATTCAAAAGATATGAAAGATCTGAAGGATCTAACATATCCACAAGATTAAGAAAATCAACAAATTTCAGAAAATTCAGAAAATCCAGGAAATCCAAAAAATACTAGAATCCCAAGAAACTCAAGAAATTGAGTAAATCCAAAAAATCATAAATATCCAAACAGGTTAAAAAATCCAAAAAATTCAGACAATCCAAAAAATCCAAGAAACTCAAGAAATTCAATAGTCCAAAAAATTGAAGATATCCAAAAAAATTAAAAATCCAAAAAATCAAGTAATTTAGAAGAGCCAAGAAACTCAAGAAACTCAAAAAACTCCAGAAATCCTATCATTTTAAAAATCCAGACAGTGGAAAAATCAGAAAATAAAAAAAGCAAAAATCCAAAAAACCCAAAAACTACTAGAATCCCAAAAACTCAAGAAATTGGATAATCCAAAAAAATCAAGAATATTCAAATAGTTTAAGAAATCCAGATAATCCAAAAATTTTAAAATTCAAAAATCTAAAAAATCCAGAAAATTCAGAGAATCCAAAAGTCCAAGAAATGCAAGAAACAAGAAATTCAATAGTCTAAAAAATCGAAGATTTCCAAAGGATTTAAAAATCCAAAAAAATCAAGTTGTATTTAAAAAATCCAAGAAACCCAAGAAACTCAAAAAACTCAAGAAATCCTATCATTACAAAAATCCAGACAAAAATTAGAAAATAGAAAAAACAAATAATAAAAATTATCCAAAAATTTGAAAACATTGAAAAAATTCAAAAATAAAATCTAAAAGCCATACAATCTTAATATTCCAAAAAATACAAAAAGTCTAAAAATGCAAAAAATGCAAAGAACTCAAATGGTCCAAAAGATCCGAAAGATCCCAAAGATGCAAAAGATCCAAAAATGCAGAAGATCCAAAAAATCCAGGAAATTAAAAAAATCCAAGAAATCCAAAAATTCGAAGGAATCGAAAAAATCAAAATAGAGAAATCGGAAAAATAAAAAAAAAAACAGAAAATCCAGAAAATCCAAAAAGATCTAAAAAATCCATGAAACCTTATAAACTCTAAAAAAAATCCAATAACTTCAAAAATTTTAAAAATGTAAATAAAAACTAAAAAAACCGAAGAAATCGAATAAACCAAAAAAACCGAAGAAATCGAATAAACCATAAAAAAAAATGAAGAAATCCAGTAAATCAAACAAACTCAAGACATGCAGTAATTCCAAAAAAACAAAAATCCAAAAAAATCAAAAAATTCAAAAGATCCAAAACATCCCAAAAGATCCAAAGGATTTAGAAGATCCAGAAAATTCAGGAAATCCAAATATGTAATAAGTAGTCCAAGAAATCTAGGAAACTCAGGAAACCAAGAATTCCAAGAAATTCAAGATATGAAAGATCCGAAGGATCTAAAATATCCAGAAGATTAAGAAAATCCACAAATTTCAGAAAATTCAGAAAATCCAGGAAATCCAACAAATTCAAGAAATCCAAAGAAATCAAGAATGTCGAAAAAATCCAAAAAATACTAGAATCCCAAGAAACTCAAGAAATTGAATAAATACAAAAAATTATAAATATCCAAACAGTTTAAAAAATCCAAAAATTCAGACAACCCAAAAACTCAAGAAACTAAAAAAACTCCAGAAAATAAAAAAAGCAAATAATAAGAAGTATCAAAAAAATTGAAAAAATCCAAAAATTAAATCTAAAAACCAAACAATTCTGAAATTTAAAAAAAATCAGAAAATCCAAAAATGGAAAAAATTCAAAGAATCCAAATGATCCAAAAGATCCGAAAGTTTCCAAAGATTAAAAAGATTCAGCAGATCCAGAAAATTCAGGGAAGCCAAAAAATAAAATCCAAGAAGTCCAAGAAATCTAGGAAACGCAGGAAATTAAAAAAAAATCCAAGAAATCCAAGAAATTCAAAAGGTATGAAGATCCGAAAGATCTACAATATCCTGAAGATCCAGAAAATTCACAAAATCCAGAAAATCCAGGAAATCCAACAAATTCTAGAAATCCTAGATATCTAAGAAATCAAAGTAATAAAAAAAGTCGAAAAAATAAAAAAAAAACAAAAAATACTAGAATCCCAAAAACTCAAGAATTGAATAATCCAAAAAATCAAAAACATCCAAGTGGTTTAAAAAATCCAAATAATCTAAGAATTTTAAATTCAAAAATCTAAAAAATCTAGAAAATTCAGAGAATCCAAAAGTCCAAGAAATACAAGATACTCAAGAAATTCAATAGTCTAAGAAATCCAAGATATCCAAAGGATTTAAAATTATTAATTTAAAAATCCAAAAAATCAAGTAATTTAAAAAATCCAAGAAACCCAAGAAACTCAAAAAACTCAAGAAATCCTAACATTTCAAAAATCCAGACAGTGGAAAATATCCCAAGAATTAGAAAATAAAAAAAAAACAAATAATAAAAATTATCCAAAAAATTGAAAAAATCCAAAAATAAAATCTAAAATCCAAACAATCGTAAAATTCCAAAAATACAAAAAATCCAAAAGTGCAAAAAATGCAAAGAATCCAAATGATCCAAAAGATCCGAAAGATCCGAAAGATCCTAAAAATCCAAAAATTCAGAAGATCCAGAACATCCAGGAAATTCAAAAAATCCAAAAAATCTAAAAATTCTAAGGAATCGAAAAAATCAAAATAGAGAAATCGGAAAAATCTAAAAAAAAGCAGAAAATCCAGAAAATCCAAAATGATCTAAAAAATCCATGAAACCCAGAAAACGCAGGACATTCAGGGAATCCAAGAAATCCAAAAAATCCAAGAAATCCAAGAAATCCTATAAATTCAAAAATGCAGAGCATGGAAAATATCCCGAAAATCCCAAAACTCCAAAAATCATAAAATTAAAAAACAGTGAATATATATTATTAAAAAAAAAGTCTAAAAAATGGAAAATTATTTAAAAAAAAGAAGAAATCTAAAAATGCAAGCAATCCAAAAAAATCCAAAAAACCGAAGAAAGTCAAGAAGAAAGTACACAATTCTAAAAACCAAACAATACAAAAACATAAAATCTAAAAAATTCAAAATACCAAAAACTGGAAACAGCTATAAATCCAGAAATCCAACACACCTAAGAAACAAAACCCACTTGAAATGCGCAAAATCCACATTTGTGGCTTATGAGTACATCTTTTTTTATGGTTAATTCTTTTCTTAAATCCCAGGAAACAAATTAGTCCTTCAGGAGTAAACGCAACCAACAAAATTATGTGCAGACGAATTTTTTGTCCTAATATCAAAAACTAAACGATAAAACCCAAAATTTTGTACGTACCTCGAGTTCGAAGTTTATACATAAATATTTCGTGCATTTTGCGGTCGATACGTATCAATCCGGTTTATTCATTCCAGAGCCTCAACCCCGTCACAGTCCTAGCGTTCGTGGCGTACATCATCGCCTCCTTGACGTCGATAGGACTGCTCTTCGACAACGCCCCCTACGCATGTGTTCTGGAATTGTTGCGATGTATGGTCCTCGTTACGGCGGTGCAAAGAATGGATTTTCCAGACCTGGATGACACCGTGTTATTGACAGCCGAAGTTTTCTTTGTGCTGTCTGGATTTTTCTGGCTCTTACAAAGCCTCAGGATTCTGCAAATATCGGCAAAAGCTGCGTGATCTCTCCGACTGATATTTTTAAGGTTCTTGTTGATAGGTTCGTAACATTGTTATTTTTGTGTACAGTTCGAAAAAATAAATATTTGTTCGAATAAGAGAAATGTGCTCGCTGCGCTCGCCCCCCCCCCGCGTCACGCACCTTTATTTTCCGCCCGTCGCAAAAAATCCGGATCCTTTGTCACGGTCCCAGAACGCGAAAAGAGGATAAATCTACTGAGGACTTATTTTCCGCGAGGCGAATCTGAATAACGTGCTTTTCGGGCCATTTGGCAAATTACGTTTGATTCGTCTAACAATGTTATTCTACCTTTTCGGGCGTTTAAGGATTTCCAGCAGGTGGAAGAGTTGTCGATGGAAAAGTTTTCCAGAGAAATGATGTATGTTTACATGAATAAATCATTATTGGGTTCTAAGGCGTAAAGACAGATATTTATAGTTCGGCAAGTTTGTGAAAGAGGACGGTTCAAATATAAATAAAAATTCCGAACGGTGCGCATTGATGAATGTTGGGGAAAAGTCGGGAAGATATATGGAAGGGTCTGGAACTTAACGCAAAATTGACGAAGTTTGTGGCTCGAAGTGTGACAAGATTTCGTAAGTTTTTGTATTTATAATTTTAAATAATTTCGAACATGCCTACAACTAAAACAAATTATTCCCTTTATCCACTAAAAATCAACCAATTTTTTTCAAAAACTGTTTCAACTTCACTTTAACACTATCCACCAAAAGTCAAAACTTTTTTTCAAAAATTACTCAAAAATGTTCGTCTAATTTTGAATGCTTTTTTGAAAGGGATTAAAAGAATTTTGGGGTTTTGTTTTTAAAAGAATTTGGAAAAATTCAAAACTGTGCAATAAAATTCTTGAAATTTAGCACATGTTTTGAAGTTGCCATTAGCCTCAAAAGTGAAAAAATCGAAAAGTTTAACATTGAAAACTAGAACAATTACAAACTGAAAAACGTTGAAGAAACGTAATTTTAAATTGAAAATGAGAAAAATTGCAAATGGAAAGATTCATGGTACGAAAAATTGAAGCTCTAAATAAAAATTGAAAAATCGAAAAACTGAGAAATCTCAACCGAATAATCGAAAATTTGGAAATTGAAAAATCGGAAACTGTAAAATTGAAACAGCAAAAAATTTAAAATCGAAAAAGTGAAAAATTCATGAGTTAAAAAACCGAAGAATCTGAATATCTGAAACATGAAAAGTCACACTATAAAAATCGAAAGCATGGAAAATTAAAACTATGGAAATCAAAAAATGAAATATACATTATATGAAAAATATAAAATTGTAAACTAAAATCAGAAATTGAAAAATTGAAACATGGAAAATACGAGTGAAAATGTTACAATTGCAATATGAATTAATAAAAAAAAAAACTTGAGAAGTTGCAAAAATCTTGGGGGTTCCAAAAGTTATTTTTTCAGTAAAGTGAAAGAATCCCGGGATCCTCTAGTGCTTCTTTAAAGAAGCTGAAAAATTCTCGAGGGCCCATAGTTCTATTTTTTTCATAAGGCGTAAGAATCTTTGGGTCCTCTAATATCATTTTTTGGAAAACCTGAAATGATCTCGGGAGCTCCCAGTGTTAGTTTTTGGAGAAAATGTAAGAATGTCGAGGACTCGTAGTGTTATATTTTTTTCTGTTAGGCGAAAGTATCTTGGAGTCCCCTAGTGTTATTTTCTCGCAGAAGTTGAAAGAATCTCGGGGGCTCCTGGTGTTATTTTTTGGAGAAGCTGAAAGAATCTCGGGGGTTTCCAGTGATATTTTTTTCTGTATGATGAAAAAATCTCGGGGTCTTCTAGTAGTTTTTGGAGAAGCTTAAAAATTCTCGAGGGTCCATAGTGTTATTTTGTTACATAAGGCCTAAAAATCTTCGGGTCCCTTAATGTTTCTTTTCTGGAAAAGCTGAAAGAATCTTTGGCGGAAAAATAACATTAAGGGACTCAGAGATACTTTCGTCATATAGAAAAAAATAACACTAAGAGCTCTTGACATTGTTTCAACTTTTCCAAAAACGAAAACTCTGGGAACCCCTAGATTTTTTCAGCTTCATCCAAAAAAAAAAAACGTTAGGGGACCCAATGATTCTTACTCCTTATAGAAAATATAACACTATGGACCTTCAAGAATCTTTCTATTTTTCTAAAAAACATTAGGCGACCTGTAGATTCTTTCGGCTTGTAGAAAAAAATAACATTGGGTGCCCCCGAAATTCTAAACCTAACACCAGGAGCCCCGGAGATTCTTTCGCTTAATATAAAAAAATAACACTAGGGGACCCAGAAATACTTTCGTCGAATAGAAAAAAACAACACTAAGAGCCTTCGATATTCTTTTAACTTCTCCAAAAACGAACACTCCGGGAGCCCCCGAGATTCTTCCAGCTTTTTCAAAAAAGAAACATTAGGCGACCCAAAGATTCTTACGTCTTATAGAAAAAAATATGACTACGGGCCCTCAAGAATCTTTTAGCTTTTCAAAAAAAGACATTAGGGGCCTATAGATTATTTCGCCTTCTAGAAATAAATAGCATTGGGTGCCCTCGAGGTTCTTCCAGTTTATCCAAAAACTAACACAAGCAGCACTGGAGATTCTTTCGCTTAATAGAAAAAAATAACACTGGAGGTCCCGAGATTCTTTCAAATTTTGCTAAAAAATAACACCAGGGGACCCAGAGATACTTTCGTCGAATAGAAAAAAACAACATTAAAAGCCTTCGACGTTCTTTCAACTTTACCAAAAACTAACACTCTGGGAGCCCCCGAGAGTCTTTCAGCTTTTCTAAAAAAGAAACACTAAAGGACCCAATGATTCTTACGCCTTTTAGCAAAAAATAACACTATGGGTCCTCAAGAACCTTTTGGCTTTTCTAAAAAAACATTAGGGACCTCTAGATTATTTCGCCTTGTAGAAAAAAATAACATTGATAGCCTCCGAAATTCTCTCGGTTATTCAAAAATTAATACCAGGAGCCCAGGAAATTCTTTCGGTTAATAGAAAAAAATAACAATAGGTACCCTCGACATTCTTTCGGCTTCTCCAAAAAATAATAATAATTTTCGCAAAAGTTGAAAGAATCTCGGGACCTCCAGTGTTATTTTTTGGAGAAGCCGAAAGAATCTCGGGGGCTTCCAGTGAAATTTTTTTCTGTATGATGAAAAAATCTCCGGTTCTTCTAGTATTTTTTTGGAGAAGCTGAAAAATACTTGCGGGTCCATAGTGTTATTTTGTTATATAAGGCCTAAAATTCTTCGGGTCCCCTAATGTTTCTTTTCTGGAAAAGCTGAAAGAATCTTTGGCGAAAAAATAACACTAAAGGACTCAGAGATACTTTCGTCTTATAGAATAAAATAACACTAAGAGCTCTCGACATTCTTTCAACTTTTCCAAAAACGAAAACTCTGGGAACCCCTAGATTTTTACTCCTTATAGAAAATATAACACTATGAACCTTCAAGAATCTTTCTGTTTCTCTAAAAAATATTAGGGGACCTGTAGATTTTTTCGGCTTGCAGAAAAAAATAACACTGGGTGCCACCGAAATTCTAAACCTAACACCCGAAGCCCCGGAGATTCTTTCGGTTAATATAAAAAAATACACTAGGGGACCCAGAAATACTTTCCTCGAATAGAAAAAAAACACTAAGAGCCTTCGATATTCTTTCAACTTCTCCAAAAACGAACACTCCAGGAGCCCTCGAGATTCTTCCAGCTTTTTCAAAAAAGAAGCATTAGGCGACCCAAAGATTCTTACGTCTTATAGAAAAAAATAACACCACGGGCCCTCAAGAATCTTTTAGCTTTTCAAAAAAAAAAAAAAAAACATTAGGGGACCTATAGATTATTTCGCCTTCTAGAAATAAATAGCATTGGGTGCCCCCGAGGTTCTTCCAGTCTATCCAAAAACTAACACCTGGAGCACCGGAGATTCTTTCGCTTAATAGAAAAAAATAACACTGGAGGTCCAGAGATTCTTTCAAATTTTGCGAAAAAATAACACCAGGGGACCCAGAGATACTTTCGTCGAATAGAAAAAAACATTAAAGCCTCCGACGTTCTTTCAACTACACCAAAAACTAACACTCTGGGAGACCCCGAGATTCTTTCAGCTTTTCTAAAAAACAAACACTAAGGGACCCAAAGATTCCTACGTCTTTTAGAAAGAAATGACACTATGGGCCCTCAAGAACCTTTTGGCTTTTCTAAAAAAACATTAGGGACCTCTAGATTATTTTGCCTTGTAGAAAAAAAAACATTGAGAGCCCCCGAGGTTCTTCCAGTTTATCCAAAAACTAACACCAGGAGCACCGGAGATTCTTTCGCTTAATAGAAAAAGATAACACGGGAGGTCCCGAGATTCTTTCAAATTTTGCGAAAAAGTAACACCAGGGGACCCAGAAATACTTTCGTCGAATAGAAAAAAACAACATTAAAAATCTTCGACGTTCTTGCAACTTCACCAAAAAGTAACACTCTGGGAGCCCCCGAGATTCTTTCAGCTTTTCTAAAAAAGAAACACTAAGGGACCCTAAGATTCTTACGCCTTTTAGCAAAAAATAACACAATGGGCCCTCAAGAACCTTTTGGCTTTTCTAAAAAAACATTAGGGACCTCTAGATAATATCGCCTTGTAGAAAAAAATAACATTGATAGCCCCCGAAATTCTGTCGGTTATTAAAAAATTAATACCAGGAGCCCCGGAAATTCTTTCGGTTAATAGAAAAAAAATACAATAGGGACCCTCGAGATTCTGTAGGCTTCTCCAAAAAATAATAATAATTTTCGCAAAAGTTGAAAGAATCTCGGGACCTCCAGTGTTATTTTTTGGAGAAGCCGAAAGAATCTCGGGGGCTTCCAGTGAATTTTTTTTCTGTATGATGAAAAAATCTCGGGTTCTTCTAGTATTTTTTTGGAGAAGCTGAAAAATTCTCGAGGGTCCATGGTGTTGTTTTGTTATATAAGGCCTAAAAATCTTCGGGTCCCCTAATGTTTCTTTTCTGGAAAAGCTTGAAGAATCTTTGACGAAAAAATAACACTAAGGGACTCAGAGATACTTTCGTCTTATAGAAAAAAATAACACTAAGAGCTCTTGACATTCTTTCAACTTTTCCAAAAGCGAAAACTCTGGGAACCCCTAGATTTTTTCAGCTTCATCCAAAAAAAAAAAAACGTTAGGGTACCCAATGATTTTTACTCCTTATAGAAAATATAACACTATGGACTTTCAAGAATCTTTCTGTTTCTCTAGAAAACATTAGGGGACCTGTAGATTCTTGCGGCTTGCAGAAAAAAATAACATTGGGTGCCCCCGAAATTCTAAACCTAACACCAGGAGCCCCGGAGATTCTTTCGCTTCATATAAAAAAATAACACTAGGGGACCCAGAAATACTTTTGTCGAATAGAAAAAAACAACACTAAGAGCCTTCGATATTCTTTCAACTTCTCCAAAAACGAACACTCCGGGAGCCCCCGAGATTCTTCCAGCTTTTTAAAAAAAAAACATTAGGGGACCCAAAGATTCTTACGTCTTATAGAAAAAAATAAGACCACGGGCCCTCAAGAATCTTTTAGCTTTTCAAAAAAAAAAACATTAGGGGACCTATAGATTATTTCGCCTTCTAGAAATAAATAGCATTGGTTGCCCCCGAGGTTCTTCCAGTTTATCCAAAAACTAACACCAGGAGCACTGGAGATTTTTTTGTTTAATAGAAAAAAATAACAATGGAGGTCCCGAGATTCTTTCAAATTTTGGGAAAAAATAACACCAGGGGACCCAGAGATATTTTCGTCGAATAGAAAAAAACAACATTAAAAGCCTTCGACGTTCTTGCAACTTCACCAAAAACTAACATTCTGGGAGCCCCCGAGATTCTTTCAGCTTTTCTAAAAAAGAAACACTAAGGGACCCAAAGATTCTTACGCCTTTTAGAAAAAAATAACACTATGGGCCCTCAAGAACCTTTTGGCTTTTCTAAAAAAACATTAGGGACCTCTAGATTATTTCGCCTTGTAGAAAAAAATAACACTGCGAGCCCCCGAAATTCTGTCGGTTATTCAAAAATTAATACCAGGGCCCCGGAAATTCTTTCGGTTAATAGAAAAAAATAACAATACGGACCCTCGAGATTCTTTCGGCTTCTCCAAAAAATAATAATTTTCGCAAAAGTTGAAAGAATCTCGGGACCTCCAGTGTTATTTTTTGGAGAAGCCGAAAGAATCTCGGGGGCCCTTAGTGTTATTTTTTTCTATTAACCGAAAGAATCTACGGGGCACCCGGTATTAATTTTTGGATAACTGAAAGAACCTCGAAGGCATCTAATGTTATTTTTTTCTGCAAGACGAAAAAATTTTTGGGTCTCCTAATGTTTCTTTATTGGAAAATCTGAAAGAATGTAGGGGCTCCCAGAGTGTTAGTTTTTGGAGAAGATGAAAGAATTCTGTTTTTTTTTTTATTTGACGAAAGTTTCTTTGGGTCCTCTTGTGTTATTTGTTTGGAGAAGCTAAAAGAATCTCTGGGGCTTCTGGTGTTCGTTTTTGGAGAAGCTGACAGAATCTCCTGGACTTTCAATGTTATTTTATAGAAAAACTGAAAGATTCTCTAGGACACCTAGTGTTTTTGTTTGAGAAGCTGAAAGAATCTCGAAAATTCCTACGTGTTATTTTCTGTAGAGGGTCTCGTGGGCTCCGAGTGTTATTTTTTTTAAAGGTGAAAAAATGTTAGGTTCTCCTAGGTTTTTTTTTGAGGAGCTTAAAGAATGACAGGACTCATAATGTTTTATTTTTTGAGGCAGTGAAAGAATCTCCTGGTCCCCCTAGTGTTTTTTTTTTTTTTAGAGAAATTAAAAAAATCTTAAGCAGGGCCCACATAGTGTTATTTTTTAAGGACAAAAAAATGCCGGGATTCCCTAGAAACTGTGTTATTTTTTGGAGAAACTGAAAGAATCTGGAGGGCCTATGGTATTATTTGGTTTTAAATGGCAATGTAATTTTGGGGTTCCTTGTGTTATTTTTTTCTAAAAAGCGAAAAAATTTTGGGGTCCCCCAAGTGCTTTTTTTTGAGAAGCCGAAAGAATCGCGGAGGCTCCTAGTGATTTATTTTTTGAGACACCAAAAGAATCTCGGGGTCTTGTGTCTTTTTTAGCAAAGCTGAAATAATGTCGGAGTGTTATTTTTTTAGAGAAGCTGAAAGAATCTGGAGGGGTTACAGAGTTAGTTGATTTTAAATGGCAATCAATTGTGGGGCCCCTTGTGTTATTTTTTTCCATAAAACGAAATAATCTCGGGTTTCTCTAGTATTTTTTTGGAGAAGCTAAAAGAATTTTGTGGGGTCATAGTGTTATTAGGACAAAATAATCTCGGGATTTCCTAGTGTTATTTTTTTTTTTTAAACTGAAAGAATCTCAGGATTCCCTAGGGTTTTTTTAGAGAAGTTAAAAAAATCTCGAGGGTTCCCTAGTGTTACTTTTTAAAGACGCTAAAGAAATCTTGGGTTCTCCTTGTGTTACTTTTCGTGAAGCTGAAAGGATCTCAAAGTCCCTTAGCGTGTTTTTTAGCGAGCTGAAAGAATCTCAGTGCCGCAAAATGTTAGGAATATTTTTTTTTTGACAAGCTAAAAGAATGTAGTGTGTATTTCTGTCACTACCAAAATTCTCTCCATCCCCGCCAAAATTTTGATGACGTAATTTATACTTGTGCTAGGTCAGTCCCGACTTTTAAGAAAATCAGAAAGAAGTTTTATCTAGATAAATTCAGACCATTTTTTTTGCTTTGTTTCATCTCTCCATTAAAAAAAAACGTCTTCCCCCCATCTCACCCAGCCCCCCAAAAATTCGATCATCCACCGCTCAAAGATATTGACCAGTTTTTGTCAAGCGTCACCCCAACTGTGCCAAAGACAAAGACAAACAAACAAACAGTGCAAGGAGGAAGGACCTCTCGCGTCTGCCAAATGCCCTGTTCAGCTCTGCCTCCACATCCAACCTGTAGTATGCGGCGATCTCTCCTCGGAGGCAGTGCGAACTCTCCCAGCGAAAGCGCGTCGGCCCGCTCACCCGCCGCCGAACACCCGAACAGCCCGTGCCGCCCCAACCCAGCGCCCGCCATGGAAGAAACCGAAGTGGTACGTACGTACGACCCCCAAAAATCACCCTCGACCAAATAAAAAATATCGCATCCCCTCAGGAAATTGCTGTAAACTTTGTTCATTTTTCACGGCGGGAATTTAATTAGCGGAAGGCGGAGTGGGCATGTTTTAACTTGATTTTTTCTTTGGAGGAAGTTTGGCAGTTACTTTATTTGGGGAGAAAAATAAATTATGTGGAATTTTTCGCTCGAGTGGAGGTGGATCGGACGGCACAGGTGGCCCATAAAGTGCGGCGCTGGGTCCCGATGGGTCGATCGCGGGAACTTGGAGGGTGGAAGGAATTTGGTTTTTGTTTAAAATCGTTATTTCGGGAGAAGAAACCGCCGAATTTTGTGTTTTGTTACGCCTTCGCTCGACATAAAGGATATTCCCACGATGTGGGAGGCGCTTAATTAGGCGCTGTTTACGGCGAATTGAAAGGTTTTTAATGTGTTATCGAGTGGTATGTTTTATGCATTGGCTCGATTTTTTGGATTACGGGTTTTGTTAACTTGAAAATCGGAAAAATTGGATTTTGCGTGTCGGTGTTGTTTTGTTATGTAAATTAAATGAAATCATAATAATCAATCCTGAAAATGTTGGCCTAGTCGAATGCGCTGTAGCCCCGTCATGTCGAAAAAAAATCAGTATGACTTGAATAGGATTAAAATTTTGGTGTGAAAGATGCTGATATTTCAAAGGTCCTTAGAATTGGTAAAGTTTCTCAAAACCCAGAATTACTAAGGTGACGTTAATTACTCCTACGCTCAAAATGTTCGGGGACTTTATACTAACGTTAATGATTTATATGTGAACGTCTGTGCAAATGATGTTGACTTAATTCTATTGACTGAAACGTGGTTACACGATAGAGTATCAAGTACCGAGTTGTTTCCTGTAGATTGCAGCGTATTTCGTTGACAGAAAGTCGTCAAGAGGTGGAGGGGCTTAAAATAGCTTTTAAGGATAAATATTCAGCTGAATGTTTAATTTCACTGTCACCTCTTCCAGATATAGAGCGGATTTTAGGCTAATCTTTTCCTTTCTGTCTGTTCCGACATTTTTATACCTAGAGAAGAATTTCTCAACATCACACGATGTTAAAGGAGAATATTTAAAATCAGAAATTTCAGTGGATTTAATTTTTAAATCTTTTTCTACATTTTTGCCTTGTAATACTTTGCTACTAAGTTTAAGCTCTTCGTGGCCGGTATTTTTTCCCAAAGTACATATTTTAGAGTTTTTTAAATTCCATTTCACTTAGTCTCCCCTGAGAATCTTCCAGTTGTTTGTACAATTGCTCTACTATATCCATAGACTAGACTTAAGGTCAGCCCAGTGGTCTCTAATCTAGTTATATTTACTTTCGTTGAATTAAGTCGGACTTATAAACTTGCTGTTGACGTTGAAGTTTCTTGTTGTGAAATAAGTCTACACATATTAGGAAACAAAGGCAAAATGTAGCCCCGCCCACCCACCCTATCTCAATTGTGATGATTTTTTTATTCATAGAAATTTAAAACACATTTAAGGAGAGAGATAAAAAACTATCGAGAGAAAACGAAAGAGAGGAAATTGGAGAGAGTGTAAGAGAAAAGGTGAGGAAATGAGAGAAAGAGAAAAAACATTGGAAAAAACTTGTGAAAGATGAGAAACAGGAGAGAGCAAAGAGAGTGAGAGAAAAAATGGAAGAGAAAGATAGAGAGGACGGGCAGAAACAAGCGAAAGATGTGAAACAAACGATGGGAAAACAAAAGAAAAAGGGAGATGAAAGGGGAAGAGAGGAAGAGGAAATAGTTAAGGAAGAGAAAGGAGTAAAAAGAGGGAGGAATTAGTAGAGCACTGAGAAATGTGAGAAAACGAGAGTAAACGGAAGAAAGAAAAGAAATAAGCAAGCAAAAAGAGAAAAATTGAGAGAGAAGAATAGAAAGCAAAAGAGGGGAAGAAAGAGATGGCGAATGAAAAAAGACGAATAAATGAAGGAAAGACAGGAACCAGAAGAAGAAACGGAAAGAGAGGCAGAGATGGGGAGAACGAAAGCAGATAAAGTGGAATGTATAACCGGCAACACAGTAGGAAAAAAGGAGGAATTAGGAGAGGAGTGGGAAACCGAAACAGTAGAAAGAAGAGTAAAATAGAATAATGGGAAAATAGAAGACTGAAAAGAGAGAGAGGAAAAAACGCAAGTACTAAGAAACGAAAGTGGTTGGGTAAACAAAAGACAAAGAGAGAGGAAATATTGAATTGGGGGTGGAAATGGAAGAGGAAGATGAAGAAAAAGAGAAAACGGTTGGAATGATAAAATTAGAAAAGGGACAAATGTGATAGAGAGAGAAAATGGAAAAGAGCGAAAGAGAAGATACGGTAATAGAGAATGCGGGAAAATGGGAGGAAGAAAAGAGCCAAAAAGAGAAATAGAAGGGAGGACAAATAGTGCGAAAGAGGCACAGAAAACAGAAGGAAGAAAGAGAGGAAGGGTAGAAACGGGTGAGAGAAGGGAAACGTGGGAAATAAGAGAAAGTAGAGAGACAGAGAGAGAGATAGAAGAAGCGGAAACGAGGAAGAGAAAATTAGAGAGAAATTAGAAGAGAGGTGAAAACGGGAGAGGAATAGAGAAAAAGAGGAAATAAGAGAGTGAACAAATGAGAAAGAAAGAGAGGAAACAGAATAGAGGTGAGGAAATGGATGGAACAGTGAGATGAAATAGAACAAGGAAGAAAAAATGGGTAAGGTGATAAGTAACCAGGAAAAAGAAAAGAATTAAAAGAAGAGTGAGAAAGGGAGAAAGAAAATAAATAAAAGAAAGAATTTATAAGAACAGAGAGGGAGACAGCGGAAGAAAAAAGGGGGTGAAATATGGAAGTAAGAGACAGACGAGAAGAAGAAACGGACGAAACAAGACAAACAGGGGAAATAGGGGGCACGAAAGGGACCGGAAAAGAGGAAGACGAAATGCGAAAAGGGGAAATGAAACAGATAAAACATGAATAAGTGAGAGAAAAAAAGAAAAGAAAAGATTGATAGGATTTTTTCCAAACATCTCGATATCTGATGTAAACAATAAGAAGAAATTGATAAAATGCAAGAATAGAAATACATTATTTTATAAAATTTGGATGAGATTTATACAGCAAATTTTGGAGATGACTAAGCGTTTAAAACTCAAAACTCGGGCGCAATCGGTTCGAGAATTTCGGGAATTATGTATTTAATGAAACAACCAATAGGCAAACAAGTAGGCAGATAGACGACAAAGGGGAATAGGACACAAAAAAAGGAACGAGTGAGTGAGACAAAAAGGGGGAGCGAACATTATAAAAAAGAGTAAAATAGAAAAATTGAAAAAGAGAAAACGAAAGAAGTGAAACAGCGGACAGTGGAAAAAAAAAGAAAAAGAAATGGAAGTAACAGAGAGTCGAGAAGAAGAAACGGATGAAAGAAGTCAAACAGGGGAAATGAAACAGATAAAACATAAATAAGTGAGAGAAAAAAGGAAAGAAAGGAATGATAGATTTTTTTCCAAAAATCTCGGTATCTGACGTAAACAATAAAAAGAAATTAATCAAAAGCAAATACAGAAACATATTATTTCATAAAATTTAGATGGGATTTATGTGGCAAATTTTTGAGATGACTCTAAGCATTTAAAACTTTTAATGAAACAACCAATAGGTAGCCAGATAGACGACAAAGCGGAATGAACACAAAAAAAAGGAACGAGTGAGTGACTCAAAAAGGGAAGTAAAATTATAAAAGCGAGTAAAATAGAAAAATGGAAAAGAAAAAGGAAACGGAGAATGACAGAAACGAAAGACTTAAAAAATAAAAAAGTGAAAGAGAAAAGGAAAGATAAGAGAAAGTAAACTATAGAAGAGAGAAAAATAGAGGAATGGAAAAAAAAGACGAAAAGAAAAGAAGTAAAAAACCGGGCGATCAGAAACAGAAGGAAATACTGCAAACAGAAGAGAAAGGTAGATGAAATGGTGATAGAAATATGAAAGAGAGAAAAAGTGAAAACAGAGGGAAGAAGGAAAGAAAATAATATGTAATTGAAAAACCGAAAAATCTAAAAATCGAAAAAATCCGAAATAGTGAAATCAAAAAATTGAAAACTGTAAAAAATCGAGAGATAGAAAAGTCGAAGAATTCGGAAATCGAAAAACTGAAACACCGAAGAGTAAAAAAATTAAAAAACCGGTATAACGCAGGATTGAACAGTCGAAAAATAGAGACATGGAGAAACTGGAATAACAAAAATTGAAAACTCCAGAAACTGAAATTTCGAAATCGAAGAAAAGAGAAACTAAACATCCAGCTCGAGTAAGTAAGTAAGTAAGTAAGTAATTTTATTGTGCTAAAAACATAAAGTTTATACACTCGTCCAAAGTTTACAAGAATGTAATAGTAAAAATAAACATAAAAACCATGCAATACAATACTTATGTAGATTATGAGCTAGCTACATGATAAACAAGAAATTACTCAAAATTATATTGAAAATATTCATTGAAACTATAAAAACTATTTTCGGTTAAGACATCCTTGATTTTTTTTAGAAATTGAGATGGTGGAAGGTTGCGGAAACTCTGAGGTAATTTGTTAAAGAACACTATACAGAAATAGTTCCTGGCAGTTCTGCAACGGTTTATTCTCAAATTTTCGATTAACAAATTTGTGGACCTGGTATTATAGTCATGGAAAGAACTCAGTGTAGGAAATTGATTAATTTGGTTTACTAAAAATTTAAAACAGTGATAGATGTACAAGCAGGGCAATGTCAAAATATTTAAGGATTGAAATGAAAATTTGCAATCATTACGATAACCAATACCTGAAAGGATTCTAATAGCTCTTCTTTGAAGCCTAAAAAGGTTTTGTGACGAGGCGCTGTGTCCCCAGATTAGTATACCATATACTAAGTGAGATTGTATTAGCGCATAATATGCAATTTTTAATATATTTTGATCAACATGATTTGATAAGTTTCTTAAGAGATA